ACAGACTAATCACACAACTGACTTTTTTATCTGAGGGAGTAAAACTTAATTCTCTGGGACCAGTGAAAAAGGGAAACACACACAAACACACACACACACACACACACACACACACACACACACACACACACACACCAGGGTACTGAATGGTAAGACTTCAGTAGGCCAGGGAAACTGAAGAGGAAATGCAGAGCAGGTGAACTACTGGATAGACAGACAGACAGGCAGGCAGGCAGGCAGGCAGACAGACAGACAGACAGACAAGGACTTTTCTGAGGGCCAAAGCTTAGTTCTTCATCTATTATCCTTTTTGTTGTTTGTTCTATTTTGTTCCTTTTCCGTCCTGTTTTTCTACCCTGATGCTTCCCTTCATCTGTTTCCTGATGGCTTCCTTCTACACTACCTCCTGATGTATTCCTTCTAGCTTCTTTGTTTTTACAGGTAAAAAAAACAAATTACCCAAGAAACCACATACATTCATGTCCAAACAACTTGTCCTAGATTAACAAAGTATGAGCAAGCAAGGTATTTTTCTCAGCCAGTTCTTCTATTGACAAGCTATATGGTTACAAATAAAAACCCAATCATTTTATTATTTATCTCAAAAGACAATCTTACAAAAAAAATCTTAAGAGAATCACAAATCTAAACTTTTATATATGGAAAAATAATCAGTCATTTCTACTGTAAGTCTCAGGGTGCATATCCACTCATCAATAGTTTTTTATTAAACCATATCAGGAAATTGAGGGCAGAAATGGGTACAAGGAATTAATCACCTTTGATCACCAGCCCATCCTAACAAGAAGAGTACATCAGCCTGCAATAGCCGGCTGCCACTGGTTTTGTTCCCTTACTTCAACATGTCCCTTTCTCAACTATTAAAAGTGTGTCTTTCTAAACTTTAAATTGTTCCCCAGATTTTCTACCTAAAAGTCATTAATAAAAACATCTTAACCTAACCTAAAAATGAGTCATTATTTAAAGCTCTGTTTTAGCTATGATGCACACCGAAACCTGTGGACACATCTCACAACAATAAGATTAAAAGAACTTGAGCTTGCCTAGCATCTGGGACTCAGTTGTTTTTTTTAATCATTAACCTAAGCCACAATCTAGCTCCTCAAGAAAAACTCATAAGTCCTAACTGTGTGACACTCTCCTGGTCCCATTTATACCCTCTGTAGCCCCTGCTCTATCAGGTGTGGGGGGCAACACTATATCCTACCTTTACCTACATTAATTTTCTGACTAAACTAACCTCTATCATAATTCCTTATTACATTTGTTAAAAACTGTTAGTCATCAAAATTATATTGCAATTAACACTATTATTGTATAAAATGATTATTTCAGTTAAACGGTACAACTTAAGAGGAAATCATCTTAATAATCCACAGGTAAAAATGCCCAGTAGACTGGGATATTTCTATGAGATAATCAAGGCAATGGGGTCCCCACACACACAATCACACCACTCGGACACTGAGAAATATGGCAGCGGTGAACATATAAAGGCCCAGCAGTAGCAAGGGACCTTCTGGAGCAGCAGCCCTTGGGGCCTATCGGAGATTCACCCATCAGGGCTTTGCTTCCTGCTGGGCCAATCTCCCAAAGCTCAGTTCCCACCTGTGCTCCTCTGACGTGGCCACCGCCACCCAACAACTCCATTCGAGCAGGGAACAGTAAGGTCGGCATCACCCAAATTCCTCTTCAGAAGGCTGGTCTGAAAGACGAGAACATGAAGTAAAAACTGGCCAGGCAAAGACCCTGCAAGCTGCAGTTCCAAGAAGGTCTGTGATCTCATCATCAGTTCTATCCTTGCCAGAAATACCAGAAGGAAGTCCTGGTTTCCTGTCATCTTCACTCCTCTCGGTGACCAGGCATTTTATAGGTGTGCCGCTGTGTGGCTCCCCACTCCTCGTCCCAGTTCCTGCCAGTGGTGTTATAAGAAGCTTCCAGAATGGCAGGTGTTTGATGGTACTACTTCCTGGAACCTGTCCCTGCCATCCAAAAGCTCTACCTTCTTTCTCCTAAGCACCCAGTAATAAAACTTTCTAAAACTCCTCCTCTTGCCCATGAATTTCAAATTCACAGAAGAACTTGGAGCCACTGAAAGTTTTGTATGGCCATGAGCTTGCAGCACTCCTGAGTTAAAGTCCACCAGAATGGAAAGAGAAAACCTCTGTCAAACTAAAAACAAAAAAACACCACAACCACCACTTCTATTCTCTTCAGGACAGTGTGAGAAATCAAAACTAAAAGGGAAACAACGTATAATAGTTGAAACTAAGCAATATAACCTGCAAAGTCCAGTGACCCGTCACAGAAGGTGCAGTAGAGGATATCCTGGGTGCCTAGATTACCACAGAAGAATCTGAGTGTGCTACACAGGGGTCTAGGCTCCTAACGCAACACAGAGACACCAATCAGGTTGCCAGGCAGGGTCATACCCATGTGACATCTCTCTAGCTATCCTAAATGCAGGGACAGTATCAAAGCAACTGCCTACAATGACACCTCAAGGCCACCACTAGTACTAAGGGACATCCCCTATAGTGCCCCCAGTTCTCTGGGGGCTGCACACACAAGGACCCCAGGGCAGGCCCAGTATCCAGGGAACTGCTTTAACACTGCTCCCCAGGGTAAGCCTTTTACCAAAGGGGGTCTATCATAAAGGTCATACAGGCATCAGTATCCAGGGACCATAAACAGGCTGCTTCCTAATGTAGGGTCAGTGCTTAGGAGGCATCTGTACATCCCTCACAGCAGGACAAGCACCCTGATGGCTGCTCTCGTGGCTCCTAGGATAGACCCAGTACCAAGAGGGTTATTCACATCTGCCCTCAAGACAAGTCCAGCAATATATGTGGGGTCTGCCTCCTTGCTGAACTCAGAACAGTCACTAGAACACTGAACCCCATGTTAGGCCCAGTACCCTGGGGCAGGCTGCAAGCTGACCACCAGAGAACTGACTGGCACTTATGGAGCCAACAGCATGGTTTTCAGGGTTAGAGTTAATATCTGGGTGACCATATGCACACTGCCTCCAATGGAAGGCCCAGCATCCAATAATTACAGGCTGGTCTACTGAAAGCCCAGAACCAGGAGGTACCCTCACACTTCTGCTACTCCAGGCCCTGTGCCACACGGACCTGAGCACAAGATCAGAGCCAACAGGGTCACTTGCACCATGAAATCTACACATGTGTAGATGCAATAACTAGGGGATGACCCACACTGGTCAGAATACAGACTTAGTACCCAGAAGGCTGTCTGCATGCGGACCTAAGAGCAGGCACAGTTCCTTGGGGGCTGCACAGAGGCTGACCTTAACTCAGGCTCAGTGTCCAGGGGTGGCCCACTGAGAATACCACCTTTCACTGACAATAAGCACCCACCAGAATTCAGGGGTTCACTATCCCTGCTTCACTGGAATCTTCCCATATCCTCCATCCCAACTTCCAGGGTCCCATTCTTTTGCAAGCAATGTTCTCATTTCAAGAGCTTCCTGCAAGGCTGGGACTTCTATTCAGACAAACTGGCAAATGAGATTCTGCATTTGATCTTCAGCAACCTTGGCTTTGCAGCTACAGCAGACACCGTTCTCCTCCAGGTCTCCACGGAAGCTTTCAGGTCCTTCGTGTAGCACATGAGCTGGGAACTCAAATCCCTGAATTTGTCCTTTCCTGCATCACACTGTCCAGCAATGGAAGGATCAAGCAGCCACCCTTGCTTGATCTACTGCCAGCTCACACATGGACCACTGATGCTCTGAAGATACAACAGCCCTCTCCTATCCTTGAGAGCTGTGTTCTGACATACAACCCGTCAGTGGATGTCTGAAACTGAAGCTAGCACTAGCAATGAATCCCAAATATACTGGAGATCTACATCCCAGATCCTAGCAGCCAAAACTGAGGATCCCGGGGCCATTCAGGGAAGGATCATGGAGGCTATCATAACAACCACCACTTACCGATTACTACCCATTACGCACAGCACTAAATACCAAACTACCCAATCAACAAACCTGCAAGCACTCAGTAACCTCTTAGTACCCCAGACTACATAGCTTGCCCATGTCCCACAGACCCTGACTGCTCTTTGGAATTCAGTAGGACCCAGCAGGACTCATCTGGAGCAGAGCTCCCCCTGAGCCTCCAGGATCTGATTACAGCTGCATGTCAGACAATCTGGGAGGCCTATGGGTCTCCTCAGGAGCAAGTGGGACCCAGGTATCCTACCCACACTACATTTCTAGCCTAGTTCTGAGAGGCGAGTAGACCTCCCCATAGAGGCCAGTTAGAGCTTGCTCTACTCCTGCCCTAAGCCTTGGCACTGAGGAAGTTCCCAATGCTTTAACACCATTTCCCAGGAGGTAACTGAGGCACGCCGGTTGTTCCTAATCTAATGACAGCAAGGGTTAGGAAGCAAAGCCTAGGCTCAGATTTAGACGTCTGGCTACAGGCACCTACTCCATGGAAGGGCTGGGCAGGAAGTAGAGGCACAGCCAGGATCAGACCTTTGTCCTCACAATGTTCTCTCCTCTAGTGGCTTTGAGCCTACAGTGGGCCGTGACCCCTAACTCGCTCACATGGTGCTGGACTTGTGAGAGGTGCAGAAGTCACATGCCAATGCTTCTCCTCAGGAACTCTGGAAAGTATGAGTATCTTTCCTGCAGGTGAAATCCTTCACACCAAGGGCAGCAGGGTTTCTCGTCTCTTGAGGGCTACTCAGAACGACCAAATGCAGGATGCAGGGGGCAGGGGAGGCTGGAAATTTAGAGAGTCAAGTGATTCTGCTTCTGAAAATCCCCTGGATTCTTCACATCAGCATCCCCTGTGTGTGGTGGGTGGCAGAAAACTCCCTCTCCCCCTGGGCAGGAGGGAGGGTGCTGTGCTCATGGGTCTCACTTCTCTTCCTCCTCCCCCGCAAATGATCACAACTTAGAAACTTCTCTAAAGGAAGTGGTTGTTCTTGTGGCCCCAGGTCCTGGAGATGAAGCGCTTCTGGTTAAAATGATTCAATAAGAAACCACGCCCCCATCAAGGCTATCTCACCCTGCCTAGGTCCCGGGGCTCTGCTTGCCAAGCACGTCTACACTGGTTGGCCTTGATGCACCGCATGCTGACCTTCACCCAGGCAACTATGTGGCTGGCCATTCTGCTTGCCCTCTACTGCCTGACTTCTGACTCCCACGGGGCATACTCCCCAGGTAAGAGAAGGGTCATCCGGTCCCATCTCAGGGTACTGTCTCGACCATCTTGTATGTAGGGGAGGCATTGGGGACCTAGCCCGTTACTCTCTCAACTTTCCCAGGACACTCTTGGAGGCCTGCGAAAGACCCTGGGCAGGGGGCTCGAGATCCTGGCAACAGCTACTTCCAAGCTGTGTCGACATCAGGAAAGGGAGAGCGACTTCTGTTCTGAACTAGGGCCCACCACAGAGACAGGCAGAGGCAGAGGCAAGGGTCTCAGACAAACAGCCTGTGGCTGACAGCTTTTCTTTCCTGCCTGTGACTTTACTGTAGGGACCTCAGTAAGACACTCATCCTTCCTGCAGTCAGCATGTTGGTGGCCAGTGAGGGGTGGAGTAAGCTGAGACACTGGAAGATTATCTGACTTGCTAGCCCAGCCATGAATGCCTGTTTGCCCACAGAGATCTGGATGATAACTGCTCCTGCAAGCAGATTGGGCACATAGATAAAGTTTGAGGGCCCTGCCTCTAATGAACGAGAACGCTGGTAACTGACCATCTCCCACCAAAGGAGTGCAGCAGGCATAAGGCTTTGTCGTTCTTCCTGTTTGAAGCAGGCTAGATCTTGTCACAGTGGATCAGGCAGAGGGTCCAGGGAACACATAGTGAAAGGGAATGCACAAGAGACACCAGGGACATAGGCTCCCTCTTCATAGCAAGAAGTCAGTGGTAGTGTCATCATTGGGGGGCACAGCCTCAGAACCCAAGACCTGATGTGTCTGCTGTGAACTGGGCTCTATGGAGATAGGACAAGAACATGGGAGGGCAGCTCCTGCTCTGAGACAGGGACAAGCCACAGCAGCCCAATGGGTGGTTAGCCAACAGGTAGTTAACAGCACTGATAGGAAAGGGGACACAGACCAAGTGTAGATCAGGCCACAGCCCCCACCTCCTGCAGCCTTCATGTTTACTAGGAGGCCCTTCCTGCCTCCCTCCTGTGCCCATGTCCCAGTTGTCCAGGAAGAGACACGGGCAGAATCTGGGGGTTCATTCTACAAAGCCCTCTTAACCTACATGTGAGGTCTGGGGAAGACACTGGTGCCAACTATCTCACCTGTCCTGGAGTTTCATTATTCATACTCAGTATTTGGAAGATGCTGTACTTGCATCCTCTGGAACCTAACTGAACAGAATAGCCACATCCACAATGTGATGGTTAACACCGCTGGACAGTCTTTGGGAGATGATATTGGAGAACTCAGTTCCCCGTCTCTACCATGTTACTTTCCCATTAGTGTGTGAAACCGAAAGGAGTCCTCCCCATTCCTCCTGCCTGCAGCGGCTTCTGAGTCACCTCCTTCAGGCCTGTCTGCCACTCTCTCTCTGGAACCTGAGAACACCACAGGCCCCCTACCTACCAGCTGAGGATTCTTGAACTTCCAACCTGTTCTTAGAAGTGACCAATAAATTGCTCCTGACTGGAGAGTCTTAATCAAACTGGTTCAGTGATGGCACTCAAAAGTGCTAGAAGGCCTGGGGTACTCCCGACAGTACCCACCCTTGCTTGCAAGTCTGTGGTCAGGCCTTTGCTGTACTGTGCTAATGAACCCCACCTCCTCCCACTGAGGTACCAACTTCCTGATGCTCCTCTCTCAGGACTCAAACAGCTGGGAACCTGTGCCCCTGAACGTCATCACACACGCGCGCGCGCGCGCGCACACACACACACACACACACACACACACACACACCATCTTCCCTACTTCCTGTGGGATTCTGGAGCCTTCTGTGAGTCCAGCGCAAGGGCAACAAGGAGGCTGAATATGTCTGATCTGAACACATGGCTTCACTCTGTACCAAGGAGCTAAACTGCCCAAACCCCGGGCAGGGCCCAGGGAAGTTTCCCCAGTCTTCAGAATTTAGGAAATTGCCACATTCATTTGCTGTTGCCTTCTTTCTCAATATGTCACCTCTTCCAAGAAGGTTCCCTGCTAGAAGGTTCCCTGCTGCTGGTCATCCTCTTCCTCACCCCCTGACCCTCTCCAGTAGAAGGTCTTTTGCTTAGGAAAGAAGCCTATAGCCATGCAGCCATAGAGAGGGCTAGAGACACAGCTACACTTGGGTATGAGAGATTCCTCTAGAAGGCTCTAGAAGCTGGTACAGGCTGGGTCTGGGCCTGAGTGGACCACTGGCCCAGCCTGTGTACTAGGATTTTCAATGACTATGTTTGTCTTCAGAGATCCGGACATATTGTACCTGATACATACAGTACTGAATAATACTGACGTTATCTCTTCATGCCAACTAGCTCACTTATTCTTACCCCGAGGGGTAAGTGTCATCATCATCCCCAGATGGGACATGGAGGCTCAAGAAGGTTAAAGCAGCTCACACAAGTCAGCACAGCTGATAAGAACAGCTGAGATTCTAACAATGCCTCAAAGAAGCCCACTCTACCCTCACAACTCAGGGCCTCAAAGCCTAAGTATGACCCATGAACTAATGGCAAAGAGTAGACTTGAGGAGTTTTGCTGGTATGGTGAGGGACCCTAAGAGGTACAAGGTATGGATAACTCATCTGCAGCTGGGCAGAACCAGGCATTTTTCCCCTCAATCTCAGTCCTCAGACTTCCTTTGGCTTCTGAGGGAACATGGTGTAAGGCTGGAGAGTATACTGAGACAGTCCAGAGGACACTGTGCAGGATCCAGCTAAGAGCAATCTACAGACCAGACCCAGTCCCAAAGCCTTACTGGACAAGAACACTAACAGCATGCTACTTCCTTAAGATAAAGGGCTTTAGTGGCCAATGCCTAGGAAGCCTGGAAGCAACAATAAGTTGTAACTGAATCTTGTGTCTCTAGCTTGTGAGCCTTTTGCCCAGACAGACCCTGCTTGGTCACACAGTCATGTGTCCCATAGACCACATTTTTTCTACTTTACCTCCCCTCAGCCCACATAAGAAGACCTGTGGTGGGCTGCAGATAGAGGACTATAGATGACACTTGTGCTGTCCTGTCCCCTCGTTCAGGTCCTAATAAGCAATGAGAACAGCCTTATGCTTCACTCGAGGGTCTCTGACAGATTGCTGACATCCAGGAAGCCTCCCTGCTGACCTGAGCTACCTCTACCTCTCATATCCGGTGTGACTGGAGATGTACCAACAGGCCTGACCACCCCACACTGAGCATCACGATTCTAGCAGCCACATAGACAGCCTGCCTTAAATAAAGACTGTGTTTAATATAAAGTCTGACTCCTTCCCTGGCCTTCCAGTGGGACCCAAAGCCTCCTACTTTTTGACTCTGAGGTGTCATCTACCTACAGTATTAATTCTTAATCCCCAGGTCAAGGGAAAAGGCATTTCCCCTCCACTTCTATTGGGCCTCAACCACCAACTACTCAGTTGGGATGGGGGAGCATCTTGTCCTCAAAGGGAACTTGGGATCTATGGTTGTTATAACAACACAGTCACAACAGCTAGCACCTCTATCTTGGTATCCATCTCCAGTCACCAGCACACTAAAATCTCAGCAAAGTCATATAAATCTAAAGCCCTTTATCCCATCCCTCACTAGGCTTGAGCTTTTGGGTTTTATTGCTTTTTAATTTTTAGTCACTTATTTATGTGTGGGGGCACACATGGACAGCTTTGGAGGTCAGAGAACAACTTGTGAGTCGGTTCTCTCCTTCCACCAGGATCAAACTTAGGTCATCAGACTCAGCAGCAACAACTTTTACCCACTAAGCATCTCATCAGCCCCTTTGTTTTCTTTTTGTGGCTTCTTTTTTTTATTATTTTTTACATTCCAATTCCAGTTCCTCCTTCTCCTCTCCCCTCCCACCTTCCATCTGCTCCCAGAGAGGGTAAGTCCTCCCCTAGGAAGTCTACTAAGTCTGTCTCATCATCTCGTTGAGGCAGGACCAAGGCACTTCTCCACCCCCACACCACTGTGTCTAGGCCGGGCAAGGTGTCTCTCCATATAGAATGAGCTCCACTGTTCAGTTTGTGCATTAGTGTTAGATCTTGGACCCACTGCCCATGGCCTCATATATTGTCCCAGCCACACCATTGTCACCTACATTAAGGGAGTCTAGTTCGGTCTTATGCTGGTCCCCCATTTGTTAGACCTGAGTCAGTGATCTCTAACTAGCTAGGGTCAGCTGATTCTGTGCATTTCCCCATCATGGTTTTGACTCCTTTGTTCATATTATCACTTCTTTCTCCCTCACTTCGATTGTACTCCAGGAGCTTGGCCCGTTGGTTAGTTGTGATTTCTGCATCTGCTTCCATCTATTCTGGAAGAGAGTTCAAGTTTCTCTGGGGTTGTGGATGGTAGGCTGGGTATCTCTTGCTTTATGTCTGGTATCCACTTATGAGTGAGCACATACTATATTTGTCTTTCTGGTTTTGGGTTACCTCACTCAGGATGGGTTTTTTTTCTAGTTCTGTCCATTTGCCTGCGAATTTTAGGATGTTGCTGTTTCTTACCGATGCCTTTTTTTTCATATGCAATTCATCCCTAACCACTGAAGAAAAAAGAAAGTTAAAAATAAAGAGAAACCTTCAAGACATTAAGAAGCACAAGCCCCTCCCTGGGGAAATGAGGGGATAATGGGGGGTTGGGGGAGGGCACAGGAGGAGGGGAGGGAAAGGGAGAGGGACCTGGAACTGACTTGTGAAGCAACCTTGTTTCTAATCTAAATTTAAACTTAAAAATAAAATAAAATAAAGAAGCTCAAGCCACTTTCTGCTATAGGGAGCCAAGTAGTTCACTGATTCTTTTAGTTTCCTATTAATAAAGTCCAGACTCCGAAACTAAGGGGCCAAATGCAAACACTTGGCCAAGCCCTGCCCCCCTCACTTCAGCCACCCTGGCTGCTGGGATCCTGGGGTCAGATCCTATGAATGAGCTGGCAAGGGACTAGATCAGGGTCTCCAATGAGGTGAGTCTTTTTCAGGATCAGTTAGCCCCATGCCTCTGGGAGCAGGCAGTCCCAAAAGCGAAGTTGGAATTCCAAGTTCTACCTAGCTGTAAGATGGATTCCCCTTATGCCATTTCCCCAATTTTTTACTCACAAATATGAACTCCTTGGTATAGGAAAACAGATCTAGGTAGAAACCAGCTGACTAGCCAGGCGGTGCTGGCGCATGCCCTTAATCCCAGCACTCAGGAGGCAGAGGCAGGCGGATCTCTGTGAGTTCGAGGCCGGGCTGGTCCAACAGCCTCCAAAACAATACAGAGAAACCCTGTCTCGTAAAAAAAAACAAAACAAAACAAAAAGGAAACCAGCTGACTAGCCTCTCACACCTCAGCATACAGGCTCTGGACCCAAAACTCAAGGGATAACATTCACTCAACAGGAGGGAGATCTGCACACCAGTACCTCAGGAGCCAGTGCACAAGAGGCGTTGGGGTCACAGGCTGTGTGTAAAGTGTGCCTGAGCAGACATGGAGGAAGGCCACTCTGACAAGGGAGAGTGAGTGCAGGAGGGGCACCAGGGGAAGCAGTTAGCCTCAAAAAACAGTCTGGGCAAATTAACACATTTCCTGTCTGAAGTTCTAGTGCCTGGGGCTCCATGTTCAGAATAAGCCTGGGTTCTGATAAAGGTCATATAAGCAGGGACCAGGTGACAGGAACTATACTATTGTACAGCCCATGGCATGTCCTCAACCTCGAGTACAGCACACACTGAGGGCGCAGAGTATCCAGGAGGTTGGCACAGGTGAAGACGGGCGAGGAGCTAGGACCACAGAGCTGAGAGAACAGGGAACCACCAGGGGATAAGGCATAACACGTTGATCCAGAATTCCACTGACATCCATGGCTTTTCTGATCCTTCTGTTTCTTTCAGATTTTTGTTCCAAAGATTTGAACTCCAGTGTGAAGCCAGGATTTCCCAAAGCAATAAATACCAGTAAGCCAGGAGTGCTTAAGGCAGCCAGGCACAGTGTGGAAAAGTTCAACAACTGCACAAATGACATCTTCTTGTTCAAGGAGTCCCGGGTCAACAAAGCCCTGGTACAGGTGAGGAACTAGGACCAACAGCTGGTAGCTCAGGACAGCTCTGAGGAGCTGGGCCACATAACCTATTACCTACAGCATTCGGGCAGAGTTGCACTGCGGCTAAGAACAGTGTCACCCAGCATGACAGTTGGGGACCTTTACTTAGTAAAAGCCTCTGGCCAGAATCTATCACTGACAAGAAATGGCAGCAGAGGAGTAAGGGTCCCACAGTGGTGTGCTGAGGCTGACGGCCCAGCAGGGAGGCCACGGCAGTAACTAATGAGCTGCCCTACCAGGGCCCAGGGTCTGGTCATCTCCTGCCATTATCCCTCATCCACAGTCCACAAGCCATTGTACTATTTCCACTGGATCCATTCATTTTCCTCCTAGAGCTGGGCCCACTCCCTTCTCAGACCCACAAACCAATTCTTCCTCCAGTCTGACTAAGTGTCACCATCCAAAGTCAGCCTTCTTAGTGACTGATTATATCCCTGGATATCCTAGAAGGCACAGCCAGCCTTGCTAATGTTTGTGTCCCAAAACCAAGTGTTAACATGACAGGAGGGAGACACCTGGCCCTATGCAGCACTTTGCTGACATACCAAGCTGGCTTTAGATGCCTGTGTGCTGGGGCCTGCAGAGAAAAGGCTACAGAAAGGTCTTGCTCTGAGGACAATGGCTTTACTGCATTCATGTTTGTTCTGGGCCATGGCGTGGCTTCTATAGTCTTCTTTTGGCAACTATAAGCTCTTTAAGGGTGTAATGGTGTATTGGGAAGAACACTTTGTGGACACGCTGGTGTGTGGCACTATCAGCACTCCAAGGACCAGCCTCAGATCCCCGGGCCTCAGTGCCCATGGTCCCCCACAAGGGGGATGAGCATTCTCCCTCTGTGCTACCGTGATGTTGGAGACTATTTCACATGATATTTGGTTAAGACTGAGATTAAAAGCTGAGGAACTTTCCTCCAAGTATACAGAAACCACAAACAAGAAAAGAACTAAGACTCGATTGTGTCCAACTCAAAATAAATTAATTTCCACGAGAGTGCAGAAGCCAGCAGGCTTGACACCCATTTAAACATCACTGCAGGTTAATGTTGGGTAGGTTGAGATGACAGATAAGAGGAAGAGTCTGGCAGGCTTGACCTGTGGCTGTGGCTACCCCACCCTGATGTTTCTCCAGAATGCAAAGCTCCAGGCAGAAAACAGCTATCTAAAAGGGGGCTGTAAGGCACGCCAGCAGGCGAGGAGGACAGATGGCTCAAGTCTGGGTCTGCTCATCAACAGCAGCTCTCCTGGATGTCCTGAGCGGGCCTCCCCTGTGCCCAGCACCACAGCACGCTCCTCACCTCACTCACCAGCTGGAGAGGCAGTGACCCCCCACCCCCACCCCTTGCATCCTAGACCAAGCAACCTAGTTCTTGGGTCTTTGGTATCTTCAGGTGGTGAAAGGCCTGAAATACATGCTGGAGGTGGAAATCGGCAGAACGACATGCAGGAAGACCACACATCCCCATCTGGACAACTGTGACTTCCAAACCAACCCTGCCTTGAAGAGGGTAAGCAGAAGAGGCTGTCTGCTGAGTCTGGTCCTCTCCTCACCCAGCGCACCTTTCAGGATGGCAGGCCCTTCAACGGCCCCACACCTCCACACCTCACTCCCAAGATGCTCCTTCCCAACCATGAACATGGGACAGCAGGGGCAGGCGCTCTCTCAAGGGACACAGGGTTGAAAGGCAGTATCCTCTCACCCCTCACATGACCTACCTGACTTTCACTTCCTGAGGCATCTTTGCAGAGAAATACTCTGAATTTGGGATAAGGAGATTATAGCAGGGAAAGTTTTCAAATAATTCAGAAATCATACACAATACCTACATACATAGAATATTACATATAATATACATTACATTAATCATACATACATTAAATATATGTATCATGTATGATATTACTACATATGATCTCTACAGAGAAAAAGCAAAAGCTATGTGGGAAACTTTAACATTCCATAACTACAGGTGAGAAACATACACTCTTGAATCACTCCAACTTTTAGTAGGTTTGAAGATTTTCAAGATAAACACTGAAGGTGGGTAAGGAGAAACTGCCTCAGCACAGAATACATGTGCATGCATACACTTTCACACACAGCTCCCGTTGCCTAGCATGCACAAGGGGTACCAAAAGAGCTGCCCGGGGTGGGCAGTCTCTGTGGCACTCGGGGTTCTCAGATGAGTGCTTTTGATGTGTTTCAGATTCTACACTGCTACTCTGAAGTCTGGGTCATCCCCTGGCTCCACAGCTTCGAGGTACCTGTTCTCCACTGCCACTGACTTCTCCCTCTTCAGCAAGATCAGGGCTGTGATAAATATACTCACATGTACCCCGCTACTCCTTCCTTTCCACCCAGCCTGGCCATCTCAAATCTCAGGGCTTCTTCCCAGTGAGCAGATGGAAGCGCCAGGGGGTTACCAGGTGACTGAGCTGGCCAGATTAACTGTATCCACATTTTCTTCTAAAATCAATTCTTCTGGTGCTGCACACCCAGATTCGGGATGTGGGCATAGACAGAATCCTTTGATGGCATTACTGGAGCATGGGTAGAGCAAAGCAGATACAGTCAACAAAGTAGTAATGTGGGAGGAGTCTTGATCCCTGACTGAACAGATTCTGTATCCATCTCTTGTCTACCACTGCTAATGGGAATGGTCTGTCACAAATAAAAAGCTCATCATCTCAAAGCAATACTTTGTATGCCACCCTTTATAGAAACCCAAGAATATGGGCAGCCTGGTGAATTTAGCCTCAGGAGGTTTGATATAGTAATAAGCTATAAGCACAAGCGTGCTGAAGACCTAAGCAACTGGCCCAGACTTGTCATCAACATGGTAGCAGCACCCAGGGAATGGAGAGGAAGTATTTCTGAAGGAACAGCTCCTCCACCCAAGTTCTCTGCTGCCATGAAGGCAAATAGTTTGGGGTGCTCAACACATGGGGAACAGGCTCAACACAGAGTAGAGTAAATGATGGGACCCGTCACAGCCATCCACTGGAGCACAGATGGAGCCTGGATGAAGTGACTGGCATGGGGTAACAGGCTGGGTGGGGCAGTGGAAGAAGGAAGAGGCAGCCAAGAGATGCAGGGCACTGGGAACTTGGGAAAGACAGCAATGGAACTTGAGCTGGAAGATGCTCAGGGACAGAGCAGAGGGTAAACCCAGAACGAGCTGACAGTTGGTCTCAGAGCCTTCATCCTGAGGGAACCCTGACTGCGTACCAAGGAGCCCCAGAATGGACAGAGGGGCCACTCACTGGACTTCTTTTCTGGGTTCTCCTCAATTACAAATGCAAAGCAGAAAGATGTGGATAGAAAGCAAATCTGCATCCAATGTGCATGGCAATACAACTGCTGTAACCCCTACAACAGATCACCAATCATCTGCCTTGATGCCCTTCAAATTCCATTTTATCTTTGTCCTGACTATCTCCAGGATATTTTAACTCAGGACAGTGATAGCAGCAATGCCACAAGACACTGACTTCACTGGGCAATTTGTGGAGCTTTTAAAGCCAATTTTGAGAGTCACAGGGTACACAGCCAAAACCCTCAGGACTCAGCTGTGTGACATCCAAGATAAAGCAGTAGGTGAAGGGTCCCATGTCCTGGTTTTCGTAAGTATTACTGGCAGCACACCAAGGTCTGGAGAATTCTGACAGAGCTCAACTCTGATGTTCTAGGGCTTTCTCCAGTCATACCATTGCCACACACTCCTCACTAGAGACATTGTGCCAGCTTGCTTCTGCTCGGTTTAGCAACCCTTGCAGGTGGCAAAGTGAGCTGACCGACAATTACTGCTCCATAAAGTATCACTCTCATCCCTGCTCATGTGAAATCCTCACACCACTATCCAGACCACCATATACACTCTAAGGCATCTTAAGAGACTCTGCTATACCACCAAGGTCCTGACCCAAGCCCATGACTTAAAAACTGCAGCAGCCACTGCCTCAAAAGCCTTGGGAAGGCCACTTGCTCCTGTCCAGCCTTTATCAGAACAAGGACTCCATTTCAGTCACGTACTCGCTGTGACACTGAGCAGTCACTAACCCTTGAGCCTTAGTTCTCATGCACACAAGGCCACCCATCCCTGCATCACTCATTCCACATATGCAAGCTGGGTATGGTATATATACCTTTAGCTACTCAGGAGCTGAGGTAGAAGAATAGCGTGAACCCATGAATCTGAGACCAGCCTGTACAATGTATCAAGACCATGTCTCAAAAAAATTAGTAAGACAATATATGCAAAAAAACCTTTTAAAATCATACAGAACCACTCTGTAAGGATATGGTGACCAGAAAAATCTCAAAAGACATTTCATTACAATGTCAGGCAAAAACTGACTCTTAACAGAGTTTTGAAACAGTATTGAGGCAATTATTTATTACTTGATCAATCTTATGAGCATATTACTAACTCACATTAGAGAAGATTCCCTTTATGTTTATAAGAAAAGCATACCACATATTTAAAACTTCTAAGACAACCCTCGTTAGCACCTCACCATGCCAAATAACCAGATAAACACAGGAAATGACACTTGGGAGCTGAAAGCAACAGTCAAGAATCTTTTGCTTAAAAATTTTTTTAATTAAATTAAATATAAGTTCACCAAGGAGAATTTAGCTCTAAAAGCAAAACTCTCTTCTCAAACAAACTGAGAGTCAACTTACAGGCCCAGGTGATGCAGAGTTCTTAGAGTTTCATTCCTATTATCCAACTATTTATGTATGCTTGATGGAGGGGACATATCATAGCTATTAAAATTATTTACATGACTGTTCAATTTTCTTTCCTAAAAAGTTCCATAAATAGTACTGACAGTTGCTTAGCTGATGAAACTCAAGTTGCATTCACTGGTCTGACGCCCATCTTACCACAAATCTACTGTTGCTTTGTTACTACAAAGTCAGTCCCAAGGAGGTGACACAGATTAGGAAAGACAATTCTTCAAACTCCAGCCACTTCTCCAACTGAGCATGAGCAGTGTGGGGAGGTAAGGGGCCAGCCAATGGTTTTCATTTACCACAGCTACTGACTGTTTTTCAGTTCTTGTATCATTAGCTATTCAAACCACTTTTCTGTCAAATTATTTCAAACAATTCCAGAAACAAACAATTTTTTCAGCATTCTCACACCCAAGAAGAAAAGAAACAGGTGCCAACAGCAGAGGACACAAACAGGAGAGAAGGCCAAAATCAACTTACCTGGGATGAATCAAAACTGGGAGATGCCACTTGAGGCCCCTGGGTGCTCTGAGAGATACCTAGCTTAACTTCTAAGCAAATCAGATGGCTGTCTGGCCCTAAAGCAATACCCTTACCAAGGTAATTTCATACTGACACTGTTAAGCAATTAAAGCAGAAAAATAAAATAATTAAAATAGAGAAGAAACTCCCAGGCTACTTCATCAAAAGGAATAGCCAGAAGAAAGGTTTATTTTACAATATTTATTATCAAAATTAAGACCAGTGTATAAACATACTTGCCAAGAAATAAGCAGCTCTGAGCTTATTACATTGCACAAACATTACATCAACAGGTCACTACTCACATTTGTGGGTCTAAGGTAAGGAGTCAAGCCATAAAAAGGACATTTCTGAAGCACCCTGTACAGGTACAGACTGGCTGGGTCACTCAACTCCAGTGGGGGAGGTAGTCACAGAAAGAAACCCAATGAAATCCTCTTAGCCACTGAAATAGGAATCCTGAAAACCCTCTGGCATGAAAAGAGGCCAGACTACAGCATGGAGAGGTTGGTAGGACACTGTGGAGGAAGAGTCCACGTATTCTCACACATCACACATGGCCCCTGAGAACAAAGTTTCAGCTTGCATGATCCCAGCCAGCAACCTCGGCACATGTGCACCGGCACTTCCATGCCATCCCCAAAGGTATGACCCCACTTTAGAATGAAGACACTGAAGGTGGCAGACAGAGCCACTCGTGACAGAAAGGTCCCTGCATAGCTAATCCCCTATTCTAATCACCAAACCCTGAGCCCTCTGACAAGTGTATGAAATTTTTCAAGTCCTACAGACTTAGCATAATTTTTAAGAGAGATGGCTTTCTGTGAACTGTCTTCCCCAAAGCAGGCACCTCTTGCACACCTTCTCCGGGTTACAGCAGCGACTCCCACACTTCCAAGGACTAACAGGAGCACAGGGATAAAGCTATGTGCATCCACGGCTCCCTCCGGGCTATGGTGGCTGAGTGTGATGATTCCTGGCATGCACAGTGGGAACAGCTGCTGAGCGGGCTAAATAGACTGGAGGCTGAGTCTGCAGATGAAGGGAGATCTGAAGGAACCCAAGTACAGATGTCCATCATGTTCATGTGCTTCACTCACATAGGTGACCACGACTCCATCAGGATCATGCAGGCTTCTCCGGAAGGCACCACTGTCACTGACTTCTAGGACCAGGCTATACCGTGGCACAAACTTCATCACCGTCTCCTGACTGAACAGCTGGAAAGGAAATTATCAGGGAGGAGAGCTGACCTTCTGGCCACACAAGAATAGGAGGTCCCATAGGACAGGAGCAAAAATCATGTCCCCCACTCCCATGCAGATCAGACTAAGGTCAAGGCTGTACAGGGACAGCAATGGCTTAGCTAACCACAGAGGAATGTAAGGTAACATTCCAAGAAATCACCACACTGAAGTCAAGCTGAGAAGCATCTTTGCCCAGCTTAACCCCAAGTCCTCTAGTTGGGTTTAAAACACTCAAGGAGTGTAAGAAGCAAGTGATGGGTATTTTAAAAGTCCTTTCACAAAATCCCAGCACTCGGGAGGCAGAGGCAGACGGATCCCTGTGAGTTCGAGACCAGCCTGGTCTACAATAGTTCCAGGACCGCCTCCAAAGCCACAGAGAAACCCTGTCTCGAAAAACCAAAAAAAGAAAAAAAAAGGGCTGTGAAGTTTAAGTGGGCACAGCTACAAACAGATGCAGCCTTGTGGAGCTCATAAAAAGTTTAAGCTGAGAAATCCCATGGGGGAACATGATTTCTAGCACTAGAGAAAGACACTGGAAAGGAACAATCTGTGTAGAGTTTAGAACCAGGCCTGAGTCTCCTCAAACAGGAGCAATAGCTATAGCATGGATGTACTTGGAAGAACTGATTAAAAAGTGAACACATCTATGTATTGTGGCAAGCACCTATAACCCCAGCACTTGAGAGGCAGAGGCTGGTAGAAAATGAGTTCTAGTCAAATCTAGGCGGTTATATGGTAAAACCCTGTCTCAAAAACAAAGGAAATATATGCAAGATAAGGGGACACAGACATCTCATTGTAAGACAAGGAGGGTACAAAGACAAGTGGAACTAAGAAAACTAGAATAAAGCCCATAGGGTTAAGTTATACTACACGTAATCTGCATAAACTATGGCTTTTAAATTTAAATGAGTATGATAAATAAATGTAGGTGCAAGAATGTACTTGCATTTCCTAGCTTTGCCCCTGAGAAACCTATGAATAGTACTGACCAAAAGGATGAACACTTGGCACCCAGAAGCCCAAGCACTCCGCCAGAGAAATGGCCAATTCTAGAACAGGGAAAAATGCGATATGGGGGTATTTATTTCCTCAGAATTAAAACATTCCCTCCTGGAGAGGAGAGAGGGGTTCATAAGATCCAGGAAGTCAAATAAAGTCATGAGACTCACAAGGTATGGAGGAGGGCAGAAGAAGGCTAAAATAGCCACTGTGGACAGCAGCAGGACTAACAGGTAGGGGGTGGCCTCTGAAGTCATGAAGGTGAAGTGACAAAAATACTCAGAAGCAAGAAAAACAGAAGAGAGGAAATGGAGGCTCAAATGTGTCATCTTCGATTTTATTCTGTTTATTGGACTAGGGGAGTGCCTTTGTCAGCAAAGTGCTTACCACTCAAGCACCCAGGTACAAAGCCAGAAGTGGCCGTCCACACCCAATGCTGGGGACATGGAAATAAGCAGATCCCTGAGGCTCAAAGACTGGCCAGTCTTACCTACCTGATGAACCCCAGATGAGACCCTGTTTCATAAAATAAGGTAGACAGTTTCAGAGGACTGACCCCTATGGCTAACATCTAGCCTTCACACACATGCACACACCTAAGCATGAACACACACACGTGTGACAGGTACCAAATATTCTAAATAGAAATGATGTTTGAGAGTTAGGTATTCAGGCCAATGGAAACAGATCATTAGACTGCCTGCCATCTTTCTTTTTAGAATCAGTTTTCATAATTACCTTAAAAATCATTCTCTTAATAAAAGGCTTCGTAGATAAGAAATCCAACATGGAAAACCCAGGGTTAGCACGAATTGTCGCAGCAGCAACCCAGTACCCGCCAGAACTGCTGGGCCGGATATTGTCAGGAAATCCAGGCATGTTCTCCACAAACATATCTGCCCCTCCTTTCATCAGGCCAGACACATAGACTCTGAAAAACATGCCCAAGTAGGCAATGCAAAGTAGAAAAAAATTTAGGAAAAATTTTAAGAATGAACACCTGGCACCCAGAAGCCCAAGCACTCCCCCAGAGAAATGGCCAATTCTAGAACAGGGAAAAATGCAATATGGGGGTATTCATTTCCTCAGAATTAAAACATTTCCTCCTGGAGAGGAGAGAGGGGTTCATACGATCCAGGAAGTCAAATAAAGTCATGAGACTTACAAGGTATGGAGGGAAGAAGCAGACTGAAACAGCCACTGTAGACAGACAGCAGCAGGATTAACAGGTAGGGGGTAGCCTCTGATGTCAGGAACTGGTCTTAGTTCAAATATATGTATACACCATGCTATACATGTGCAAGCAGAGTGAGATGCTGGCACAAATCTTGATGTCCACAGAGGCAGGGAAACAGTCTGCAGGCTATGCAGACAGCATGAAGTCAAGACATACTCTGGACTGTGACCCTCACAAAGGCTGAGACATGAGGAAGGAACTTTCTCATCATTACACAGAGAAGGGGCCCAAAGCATTTCAGACATCCATTCACCTCATTTCTATCCTACCACAGGCCACGACAAGCTCTGGAGAAAAAGTGACAGCTCTGTTCACACCACACCACACACACACACACACACACACACACCTTCTTATCCTGGCCATGGTCGTCTCTGCCACCAGAACAAAGTCTTCCTCAGGAGATAGCTGAACTCCATTAGGGAACCACAACTGGTCCAACAAAACTCTCACTTCTTTTGTCACAGTATCATACTCCAACAGGCTGTGGAAGGCCCAACACAGCAGTCACAAAGGGGAAGAGCCCAAGATCTCCCGTGGGCTTGGGGAAAGGGAAAGGGACTCAGCCTCCCAGTAGAGTGACAAAAGCAATCTGTATGGACATGGTCCCAGGCTGGCTAGTAAGGACCCTCCCTGTCCCTACCAGATCCAGTATCCCCTTACAGACCAAAGAACCAGGTCAGCAGTGAGGGCCAGCACACCAGCTCTTAGAGCATGACCTGAAACCTAGGCCTGCTGTGGGCCCTCACCCACTCTGTCTAGAACCCCTTAGATAGACTTTTTTATTTGCTCTGAAGAAGGGAGATCACAGTGGCCATCACCTGACTCCAGAGCCACTAAGGTCTTGCTCCTAGACACTGACATACTGTACTAAGACCTTGCTAAGGCTTCCAGCAGAAACAAGGTCTGTTACCTGTCACGTGGCTAATCTACCAGTTGAAGGGAGGACCTAAAAGGGACACTTGCCGCCCATCATCAGTGCCCTCCATCACCAGGAACAGGTAGTCCCGTCTCTGCCACTTGCTGCTGGAATCTGTGAAATAAATCTTCCTCCCATCCCGAGTGACAGTGAGGTCATTCACAAAGGACATTTTCTTGCCCTCAATGGGAGTCTCAGAAGACAGCAGCAGTTTCACTGCACCTGAAGTCACACACAAGAAAAAAAGAAAGATTTGCTGTCATTTTAGGAACTTGTTTCTTGATAATTTCACAATGTTAATCAATCCAACTGATGTCAAGAGAAAAAATTAAAATGAGTTTTTCTATTCCCCAGTGAGAACAGTTAAAAGTCATAAGGTAAAAATCTTGGTTTTTTTAGACTAAACTTTACCAAAGGCAGAATTACAAAGTTGAAGAACACGTTTTTTTTTTTTTTCATTGAAATCAACAAACTTAAAAAAGAAAAAACTATTAAGAGCAATATGCAAAAAAAATCTAGCACTAATGTTAGCTGGAGAGGAAAAAAAAAATCAAAGATTTCATTCATCTGCTTTTATATTAAGTGGCAACAATAGTCTGCAGAGGCAGACACCCAGCTGTGAACCAAATTGAACTCCTGGAACCCAGTTGCAAAGAGGAATGATGACCAAAGGAATCAAGATCAGGCTGGCGAAACCCACAGAGGCAGCTGACCTAAACAAAGGGCAACACATGGACCCCAGACTGATAACTGAGGGGCCAGCATGGGACTGATCCAGACGCCCTCCCACCAAACCTGGGTGACAGAGAGGAGACCTTGGCAGTCTGTGGGACCTTGGAGAGTAGAGCAGTATTTCTTGCTGGCATACAGATGGACTCTGGGAACCCATACCACGTGGAGGGATGCTCTCTCAGCCTGGACACATGGGGAAGAACCTAGGCCCTTCCGGGGATGATGTGACAGACTCTGAAAATCCTTCATGGAAGCCCTTGCCCTCCCTGGGGAGCAGAGGGGGGATGGAGTGGGGATGAGGGGTTGGGAGGATTGGGGGTGGGGGAGGAGGAGAGGAAGAGGGAACGGAGAGTAACATGTGTAAAAAGTTAAATAAAAAAATATGAAAAAAAAAAACTAGCCAGGAATGAGGAACATATTACCATCCTAGGTAGGAGAGGCAGAGGCTGGAAGAGAGTTTGAACTCAGTAATTGGAAGCCAACTTGGGCAATACAATGAAACACCTCTATGCCACAAGCTCAAAACTCCAGTAACAGAAAGGACATATATGGGGTGTCAAGCTTCCTATATACACTTATTATTTAACACTGTGCAAGAATCCACAGGTAAGGTCCACTATTAATCTTCCCTACTACATGGAAAAACAGGAACAAAGAGGCTATGTAGCCTCCCCAGTCATAACCACCAGAAAGCAGAGGCCAGGCTGCAGCACCCATGGTCAAGCCCCATGCACAGATCCTATATGCTGTGTCCTCCATGGAGACAGCACACAGCACATATTATAATACCAGTTCTGGTAATATTTCCAGTCATGGGAGAGAAAGAAGGAACTGTCTAAGGGGGAAAAAAAAGATTCTCAGACAGGAGGATGAGGAGTAAATGTTTACAACACAACCCTTCTGAGAGCCAGTGGCTAAAACACAGATGCAGAGCAGGGCAGGGACCAAGGCAGGCTCAGAAAGGGAGCTCTCTGGTGGTCAACACAAGCATCTGTAGGCAATACTTGTGCTGTTATTTAATAAGAAAACACTGTAGTTGCCTGTAGACTACATTTAACAATCTTATTAAGTATGCTTTACATGTATACTGTTTGAAAGAGCTGAAAATATCAAAGAAACAAGTTGTCACATACGTTTCTGAGGATTTACTTCAAATAATCCCTTGTATGCATCAACCACAAAAAGAGTCCCATTGGGCCCTGCCCGGATGCCCAGAGGTCTCCCACAGGTAGGTTCATCATCTCGGGTTTCTAGGAAGATAAACAACAGGAATTGGTGGCCACTCCAAGATTCTACCTGTGCCCTCTTCAGTGTCCAAGTATCTCTTCCATACCTCCCTACACAGACACCATGCTGTACAGAGCAAAAAAACCACAGCGTTAGAAACAGACCTGCCCCTCCTCAGAGACTCAATGCAAGAAGCTCCTCATGGGTGCTTACTAATAGGTGCTACCACCGCATGTACTTACAGAATGAGTGAGCTATAAGGTGCTTACTGCAAGGGTTACTGCACCACAAGGGGTGCTCCCTGTCCAGTGCTCAATGCAGGTGCTGAGTGCAGGTGTTATATGTGGACTGGAAAGGGACTGAGAAGCAAATACAGAGTATGAGCGTGGGTGTCCATGGATGCAAAGCTTCCTGAAAAGGGACTCATTCAAATGTTGGACAGTACTTTTCAGAAGACCCTAAGTGATTTTTATTTTGATTTATTTATTTTTTATTTTTATTATTATTTATTATTATTTATTTATTTATTATTTATTTATTTATTATTATTTATTTATTTATTATTATTTATTATTATTTATTTTTATTTTTATTATTATTTATTTTTATTTTATTTATTTTTATTTTATTTATGTTTATGCTGCTTTTATTTTGAAACAAAAATGTACAATTTTTATAAAACGTCCCAGCTATCAAAAATGGTAACTGGGCTGTGAATCGTAGTGGTAGACACTTGCCTGGTAATCAGGAGGTCCTGAATTCTACCCAGAATACCACAAAATAAATAAAATTTATAGTAAGTTAATTAATTTAAAAAATGGTAAGAATCCTGTGGACCAATTTTTAAACAGTGCTTCCAAAGTCTAAATGATGCAAGGCTTCTCAGACCTGAGTAACACAACTGAAATCCCTGAGGAGCTACTAAAGAATCACATGTAAGCCCCAGTCACAAGGCCCCTGCCTGATATAAAGCAGCACCCGCACCCGCAGCAATTAACAGCTGAAGTGCCCACAGGGCAAGCAGAGACTGAATGGGAAGATGAGGGGATATAGCACCAGGAAATACTCATCAGGGACATGGCCAATGCCCAACCTGAAAGCTAGGACATCAGAGAGACTACCACGGGCTCTACTGGGCACTCCAAGGCCAAATGATCACCTAGTAATAAAAAAATGGAGGTGACACCACAGTGTGTCCAGTCTGCCAAATGATCAGCAGTTCTCCAACAGTGAAAGTGACATCTAGGGGAAAGGGACAACTTTCTGAGTGATGTGTTACCAACTTACTGCAAGGGCCTGAACCAAACCGGGCGATGGTCTCTATTTCCCCATTTTCAAGTTTTACAACTCTGCCATCTGCTGTGCCAGTAAACATCACATCTGTTTAAGAAAACAAAAAGGGAAAAGATCATTAAAGGATTGGCCAAAGAGCTATGACCACACTGTTTCTTTTACAAGGCAAGCAGTTTGGTTGCATTTTAACAGCCAGAAAGGAAACAGCAATTCTGAAGATGGAGAAATTATGTATGTGGGAAATATTTAAATCCTTAAAATTTAAAGTAACAAGCAAGGCAGTGGTGAAGCAATCCCAGCACTTTGGAGGCAGTGGCAGGATGATCTATCTCCGTGAGTCCAAGGCCAACCTGATCTACAGAGTGAGCAGAGTGAATTCCAAGACAGCCCATCCAGGGCTACACAGAGAAACCCTGTCTTGAAAAATCAAAGCAAAAAAAATTTTTAAATAACAAAACTATGGGGGCTCCCTCAAAGGATATAACTGTCCAAATCTGTCTAAAGTCTGCACATAGGCAATATGAATAGACCTATGTGTTTTAAAGAAACTGAATAAATAATTAACAATCTTGAAAGACAGAAAGCACCAGCCCCCAATCAGCTGGCTCACTGGTAAATTCTTCCTTAAGAAATTACAGTCAAATCTCTAAAGTTTGCTTTAGAAGGCTGAAGCTGGAAAAACACCTCTTAATTCATTCTATGAATTACAACTTCTGTATTGCCCTAATGAAGACATTAAGAGAAACTACAGACCAGTATCTCACAAACACAGTTGCAAGAGGCCACCTGAAAAGACTATATGATTCTAATGCTACATCTGGAAAGGGCAAACAATGCAGAAATTTAAAAGTCACTAGTAGATTAGAGTTAAAGAGGAAAGGAGAACAAAGGTGTATTTTATGAGAGTGAAATATCTTTTATGATAGCATTATAAAAGTGTCCAAATCCAGAGTTCACAATGCCTAGAGTAAACCATAATTAAAACAGACAATTGGAATACTAACCAACTGTGGTGGGAAATGGCAACAGTAGAACAGCTAAGCCTGTGTGAGCCTAACTAATACCCATTCTAATAAAATCTCTACTTTTTGTTCTATTACTGTAAGCCTAAAGCAGATCTTAAAATAGTTTGCTCTGCAAATGGGAGGGAGGAGTGGGGGGAGCGGGAAGAGAGGAGGGAGGGGGAACTGGGATTGGAATGTAAAAAAAATAAATTAATAAAAATTTTTAAAATAAAAAAAGTAGTTTGCTCTGGTCAAAAGCCCAAGACTGGGGAGCTATTCATAGGTCCCAGAGGGGAACCTACTGTCATTTTGCTAAATAGAAATGGTATCAAACTGCCTTCTAAATATATGTGTTTATACACATAAATTAGTGCTGCCCTCAGCCTTGGCCAGAGTTTCTCTCTGCAGTGGGTGATGGCTAATACAGACTCTTAGTCAAATTGCTGAGGATATGTGATTACTCAAAAGACATCCATATCACCCTCAGGAAACACCCCAGAAGAGGGGGACAGAAAGAACATAAAAGCCACAAGATAGGGAAGAATGTTGTGAGGTGCTTTCTTCTGCATGTGCCATGGCTACATTCATGAACTCAGAAGATACGGTTCCAGTACAAGACCGGGCCTGTCAACATTTCATCATGGACTAGGGAGGGACTCATGAGGAGATAACTGCAATTAGTGGCTGCTGAGGGAGGGGAGTGGTTTTCTTCAGGGATACAACCTCTGTTATGCTGCCTATGCTCTCTCTAGTAAATAACCCCCTACCCAAACTCTTTTTACAAGCAATCCTAGTTAAGCTCAGTGGCCCATTTTAAAAATAAATAATAAAAATACAAACAAAAGATGTGAGAATAGACAACTCATTGGGAAAACAAGGCATTCGGAGGGAGTGAAATCAGGAGAAAGGATGAGGGAGATGAAAAAATGACCTGTGTGTGTGTGTGTGTGTGTGTGTGTGTGTGTGTGTGTGTTTGCAGTTACTAATAATAACAAGTAAATATATAAAACTGAAACCATTTTGAATATCTGTGACAGAGAGTAAACAAAGCAGGTTTATAAATGTCGGGAGCCATGCAGCCTAGTCTTGATCACTTTATGAGTGCCTGTCTAATGGGTTTCCCTGAGGCAAGACCCGTGGTGATGGCTTCTCACTCTGCAGTGGACCTGGGGCAGCACAGGACACCGCTAGATCTGCACGACTGCGGGCTGTCTTCTCTTTCAGTATGTGGTTGATTCCTTTGGTGCTTTTAGTTTCACTTTGTCAGTCGCACATTAGACAGCTGTAATTTTCCTTGGAAATTCTGTTCTTTCTCGATTGTTTTCCCCTAAGATTTAGCAGGGAGCTAATGCTTCTCAAATTTCTTATCTGGAATTACTAACTGCAATCCCTAATCCTGGAAACTTTTCTGACTTACAATTGTTCTAAGGAAAAGGTAGATAACACCACCTTGTGGGGAAAGGGACTCTTACATAGAATGGTACTGACAGGAAATACTGGGTGCATATAAGGAAACAACACCTGGAACATTAACCATGTCTCACAGTTCTGGGAAGGAGATTAAGGCAATATATATGCAGAAAAGGGGGAAAGCCTCGGGGATACACATAATACCAACTGTTAAGATTAAGTTCTCTAGAGGCCAAGCATATAGAATCAATGGTAGGATCTGGAATGCTCCAAGAGGAAAAACTTCAGTGCCAAATGTGGGATGGATAGCTCCACCTTCTCCATACCCAGGAGCTTACACTGGTGGAAGAAGAATGGAATGGTGGGATGGGAAAGAATGCCTCATCTAAGTCTGCCCTTATGAGAGAATGAGACAAGATATAAGTGCTGCAAGAACAGAATGTGCCTGGCTCAATAGTAAGTAAGCCTGCAAGAATGCTCAACTCTATGTCTAGCAGGAGGCTATGTAGGGGGTGAGAAAGTGTATTTAAAATATAAACTTTGAGGTTAAATAACTCCCAAGGTTCATCTTGGATTCCTATTTGCAAACAATTCAAATTCGCTGTCTAGAAAGAATCTCTGCACTATTCCTGCTACAAAGGTTGATGTTAGTGAAATAACAATTGCTGAAAAACATTTTTTAAATGGATCACTTAAAAACAAAGTATGCTAATTGGTTGTTGCTCTCCTCTAGCACCTATCCTGAGGCAGTCAGCACCTGCCAGTCTCCCTAAGGTTACCCTCTAAACAAAGCTGCAGCAGCAGGCGTCTGGGTGCTAACTCCTAGCTCACATCAACGAGAATAGAAGCAGAGAGGCTCCCTTGGGTCCACACCAGAAATGGCACCCAGTACACACAGCTCCTCAATATGAAGAAAGGGAGAAGGTAGAACAGGTGCACTCACTTAGGCAGCAAAGAGCACCAAGCAACACCAAGTTCCAGTAGAACCCACAGTGTCTGGCTTGTCACTAGAACTGATGAAACTTACTAACAAATGCCAAGGCCTTTTAAGAGAAACTAAGCTCTACCATGATGTATTTACTCTATTGAAATAATGAAAACAAAATGCTTACCAGCAATATAACAAAGTAACAACTGCAGAGACTGGCAGCCTTTGGGCCTCTATGGAAAAAGTAGAGGCAAGACTAGTTTATTAAACACATGCAGCAATGGCCCTGGCCAGCTGAGAAACTACACAAAGATGCACAGTGCATAATGTCTATAAACACTGCCCAGGTAATGTAATAGATGCAGGGCTGCAGCATTTCAAAGCTGGTACTCAGAAATCCTCACACCAGTACAAGTTTGCTCATCTCATTAACTGTGTCCTTTCAATACTACGCTTAATTTCATCCTAAAAGACAAAAAACAAAAACCAAACCCTACTGTCTAGTTGCTAGAGTCAAATTCATTATCAGGCCCAATTCTTGTTTTCAGGAATCCCATCCTGAGATGCATGGGATCAGTGGAAACACTGAGAACCACTCCTCTTCGCTTCAAAGTAAAACCTATGCAAAACTAAGACAGTGAGCAAAGAACCAGGGTGCTATCAAGTAACATCTTCCTAGCTAAATAAATAGACTCAACGTCAGTGTCTGTGTGTGCCTTTTGCCTCCTCACAATACTGAGCACAAGAAAGTGTTCTGTGGAAATCCACTCAAACTCACCCCACATAACCCAGCATGATATACACCTTTAATCCTAGCACTCAGGAGGCAGAAGCAGACAGATCTCTGAGTTAGAGACCAGCCTTGTCTACAGAATGAGTTCCAGGACAGTCAGGGCTACTTAGAGACACCATGTCTTGAAAAACAAAACAAACAAATAAAACATAAAAAATGTCATGCAAACCAGGCATCAAGAAGATGCTCCCTTGAGATGTTTACAGCTGAGAAACAAGCCCAGGGCTCCCCTTCCTGCAACCTGTGTGCCACTGCAGCTGCTCCCACAGAACCCATCCACCCTGAGCAATAGCAGCCTGGAAATCAGCCAAGTGCATTCCACAGATCCCTGTTTACTTACCCCCGATATTTACCAGGGACTCTGGCCCACTAAGCTGGTTTTCAAATAGCCTTTCTGCTTGTCGCAACTTTGTATTTGGTTGCAGAACGCCAAACATGAAAGGGGGTTCTTTGAAGCTGTAACACAATACAATTGCAAGGATTTGTGTATAAAAATATCCATGAAGGAAAACATTTCCTGAGGACTGGTGGCATGTCTCTCTCCCTGTTCTGACACACAGAATACATTACTAAAATACTCTTGAATGCCAGAAAAATAAAGGTTAAGGTGGAAATTTAAAGGATATCAGCGGAAATAATTATGAAAATACAAATATTGCATGTCCCCATACCGCAGGGCCTCAGGACAGTTACTTAGGCCTCCTCACACCTTCTGATACAGACAGCCCTGTAGCTAGTACTGTCTGTCTGGCACGGGGAGAGCTCTGTCCACCTTTCACAGCTGACCACTTTCTTGCTTCATGTGTAAGGGAAGGGAGGCTGCCAGTCATGGAACAACATCCAGTGCTCATGACCTCCCACAGGTACATTCTGCTGAGTCCGAGACTATCTTCCCCTCCCAGAGTAACTCCAGCAACTTTCCTCCAAATCCATTCCCATCCACAAGCAAAAGTGCCATAGCTCCCAGCTACTGCTAAGGCCACTTTTAAAGAGACATGACTGGACCTTCCTCCCAGATCCTCTGCTGTCACTCTGCCCTGGCCAGTATCTTCTCCCCTCTGATCCCTCGTCCCTACAGTATATTCTCAATCACAGCATTTGTCTGTTGATCCTTACAATTGCACCATCTCACTCAGAACCAGAGTCCTTGGAGTGACTTCTTATGCTGCCCGGTCTGGCCCTGTCACCCGTTACCGTGCTGTTTCCTCTGTTCCCCATAACCGCCCCCCCCCCTGTTGTTAGGTCTTGAGCACCAGGCATCTTGTTCCTTAACCCTAACTCTCTCAGAAACACCTCTTTTTTCCTCGGTGAAGCCTACTCTTGGAACCCAATTGAAAATCTGTCACCTCCCTGGGCCTGGCCCCAGCCCCATACTTGCTCTACTCTGTCTCGTGTACTTTTGGATTTGCTTTTCTGGTGTGTTTGACTCTCTAGTCCCACCAGAGGGATGTTATGTGGACCAGGGATTCCTTCCTGCTTCCTCCTGCTACATCTCAAGAACCTGGTAGGAAGGGAATTCCCAATGCACACTAAGGCGGAGGAAGAGGAGTACTTCCATCCTCCATGAAACCCCGTCATCAGAGAGGCTGTTTCCTGGCCTACTCACCAGTGGAGGAGAGGCAAGGGGACTAAGGGTGGCTGAGAATGCGGGAATAAAACGCTCTCTATTCTGCCTACTCTCAGTTCACAACAATGTACTTTACTCTCTGTTGCCACTCCTGAGTCAGGACCACACCCAGATTAAACTGTCTTTCCTCCCTCTGCTCGGCTCTCAACCACGGCTTTCTACTAGCCACAAAGGCAAACCCTTTCAGCTTAACTAGGAAGTTTCAGTTCCAAAGGAGGAGGCAGGAAATAGTCTGCCTGCTTTGGCCAAGGAGTTCAGTCCTCACCCTGATAGGTCCCAATCACCAAGCTGAGCTTGCAAAACAAACCATGCTTGAGCATAAAGCCAAGAATAGAGACGCTCAACCCTCCCCACCTTGGCTTAAGTCCTTCCACTCAGGAAGTTCTCAAGAAGCATTTGTGTGCTTATCCCTGCCCACAGGCAGCCTGAGGACAATCTTAGTTGAGAAATAACAAGAAAGTTGAAAGTCAGGCACAGTAGCTCGTGCCTATCGTCCCAGCACTCAGAGGGCTACAGCTGGAAGACTGCCATAAGCTTGAGGCCAACCTGGGCTACAAAGGGAGACCTTGCCTCAAAGAGTTGGGGAACATGGACAGGAACAGGCAGACTTGGATGCAAAAGGGCAAAGTGCAGGCAAGCAAGGTCCCCATGGCAATAGTTTGTAGTAGAAGGACAGTCACCAGGAAGTCCAAATCAGACAATGTCCTAGGGCCTCACCTCCAGGCCACAAGCGCCCATTAACGTTAAAGCCAGTGACACGAGTTTACCCTTGCTAAGTCTGTGGCTGTACTGTTTATGTGCAGTTTTTTTTATCTTTTGTCATTGCTGTTCTAGTTTTTCAGCCAGGGTCAGGTTTGCTCTTTCCTCTGAGATCAAGCTTACTAAACCCCTTCGTTGGCTCTGAGTGTGTGCTGAGTGTGTCTCACACCAATGTCCACATCCAGGACACAGTGCTGTGGCATGCCACCTTAGTAGCTCTTTCCTCCGTAATTACATCTCACAAAGCCTGGGAAAGCAGCTGCAATTGTACTCAGAGAGGAACAAAAGGTCTGTTTTCCACGGAAGGACATGGGCATTTCTGGGCATTATAAAAATATACTTAGCTGCATCTTACCACTTCTTGACTTATCGGGCTCCCCTACAGCAGCCAGTGCTCACTTTGCACAGCTTCAAATCCCCACTGAGCTGTTTTTCCATTTGCCATGGCCACACACCCCGTTTCAGCTAAGTTTCATCACCATTTTTCCACACACAAACTGGCCTTCCCTGAGATCAAAGGGAAACTCATGTCTTCACCTGCTGTGTGCTGTTCCCCTTGGCAAGGCTGGATCTAACCTACTTCTGATTACCAGCTATGCACACTGTTCATTTCCCTGTCTTATTCAAAGAGGCCTAAGTCAGTTCTTCTGGGAATAGACTGAGACAGTTTTCTACATGTTAAGAAGGGCCTCTGAAAAACAAAGAGCCTATGGCCGGGCGGTGGTGGCGCATGTATTTAGTCCCAGCACTCAGGAGGCAGAGGTAGGCAGATCTTTGTGAGTTTGAGGTCAGTCTTGTCTACAGAGCTAGTTCTAGTTCCAGGACAGCTAGGGTTGTTACAGAGAGACCCTGCCTCAAAAAAAAAAAAAAATGAGGAGGAGGGGGAAGGGAGGAGAAGAAGGAAGAAGAGGAGGAGGAGGAAGAGAAAAAGGGGAGGAGGAGCCTCTAAGAAGACTACCAGATATCCTCAGGCCTGAGGCTCAGGAAGTGTGAAAGAGAACCCACTGACATATGAATAATTAGAACCAACCCCTCAAGCTGACTAGGCCAGCATTCCTTCTGGACAGTAAGATGCAAGCTAATCCCATACCTACAGCACTATACAGATTTATTTGTAGTCAGTGATTATTTGGGTTTTGGTTTTTACAGTGTTGGGGATCAAACTGAGGGTCTTTGCACTTGCTAGGCAAGTACTCTATCCATATCTCCCAGACTGTTTAGTTACTAAAGTTTAGTAATTCTAAAAACAAACAAGGTGACTCTTGCCCACATCTCCATTTAGGATCAGAACTGTGTCCTCCCTCATCTCTGAAATCTGCTGGACACCTACTTAGCTGCTGAACATGTTCTTAGTTAATTGAATCTAATATAAAATCTGAATTTTTACACATAAAACAGCAGCACATTTTTCAGTTGTATATGTTATCTTTGCTCCATAGTCAGACAAAGTTCTTGTGTGAAATCCTTAAAGCTTTACATGACGTAAGTTCTAACTCATCTGAAATAAACTTCAGATGGGTGCACTCCCACTAGTGTCTCCAAGGGGAACCAGGGATCTTCAAAGGCTTTTGGCATGATGTTGGGTTAATACTATTTTAAGGTGTGTGACTTTTGTTTATGTTGTATTTATTTAACTCTGTGAAGTTGTGTTATTGTGCCTGTCTAAAACACCTGGTGATCTAATAAAAAGCTCAACAGCCAATAGCGAGACAGGAGAAATAGGCAGGGCTGGCAGGCAGAAAGGATAAATATGAGAAATCTAGGAGAACAGGGATCTGGGAACGAAAGAGGAAGAAGGACTTCAGGGGCCAGCCACCCAGTTACATAGCCAGACATAGAGTAAGAAGAAAAGGTATGCAGGAATAGAGAAAGATAAACCCTGAGGCCAAAGATAGATGGGATAATTTAAGAAAAGCTGGCAAGAAACAAGCCAAGCTACGGCTGGGCATTCAGAGCTAAGGATAAGCTTCCATGTGCAATTTATTTGGGAGCTGGGCGGTGGGTCCCTCAAAAGGCCAAAGAGTAAAAAGAGTAAAACTTCACACTACAGTATCATAACTTGGAGTTTCACCATTGCAGAATCTGTGTGAGTTCCTTATGTGAATTTGTCAAACTTTCTCAACCAACTAGAAGAGCTAGGATTTCTTTTGATTTCTAAAGGTGGGAGATACAAAACGATTACAAAATTAGAGACTAAGGAGTTGAAAGAGTCCAGCTTCTTCACAAAAATCTCAACCTCCTTCCCTTACTTTCCAGGCCAAACCACACAACCCTTCTCCAACCAGCCCAAGATCAATATCAACAAACACCAATAAAAGTCTGACTCTGTCCTGTTGTGATTACAAACATGACTAGATATTAAGAGGTTTTCAAGTTACAATAGACTAATTCCTCACAGACCTCCACTGGTGAATTATAACTTGGCAAAAACAGATTATAATTAATTACAGATCTTAAAAGTTAATTATTTACAAAAGTTACATAAGGTGATTTAAGTCACTGAGTGTGCTTCTTCTACTTCAAATTTTAAACTAAGGTCAGTTATTTCTAATGCTTAAGCTTCTTTTATTCTGATTTTTATAGCTGCTTTCTGTCACAATAGAAGGGAAAATTTCACACGTACTGAGTTAGATCTAATTCAACATGAAACTCAAATGCTAAAGAAATAGAGCTCTCTTATTCGTAACCAAGTTCCAAATTACACTGATTCTATCGCACACCCTCACTTGGTGGGGGCACCCTTCCCAAGACTGCTGTGCACTTACCTGAGAATCTGAGGATCTATGGGGGACTCCAACAGCATCATGGCTCCAAGCAGGGGAATGACAAGGGAAACAGCCAGCATCAAGAATGTCATTCGGAAAACTCTGCCACTGAAGGAGCTGCCAGAAATAAAGCACAGTGGAAATCAGCACACACACAGTGACAAACCTGTCTGCTCTGGAGGCTACCCTGAAGCACAGCCTCTCGCCAGTTTCTCTGCTCACCAGATCTCCCCATTGCAACGTCACTGGCTTTGTGATTCATGGTTAAGCTTGAGCAGTTTGTCAATCTTGGCAGACATGACTATTTCTTTGTGTAAAATCTTGCAGCTGTGTGAAATACTCTGGTCAGTTATACTCCAGATATTCTTTCTTCTAACAGAATTTCAAAGGAAAAACTCAAAATACTGATGAATACAAAATGTAATGGGAGAGCCAGGCACAACTCACAAACCCTAACCCCAGCACTTATAAGTCTGACGAAGGAGGATTGTAAGTTCAAGCCCAGCCAGGACTAAATTCCAAGATTCTGACTCAAAAGATAGGAGAAAAAAACTTGCAATGATGTGATGGACATATTCACATCCGGGGGGGGCCTAATTTAGATTTTCATAAAGGAGTCCTGCCAACTCTCTGAGGCCCTAATTTCTCAAATATTTTACACCTCCCCATTTTTAGGACTCAAAAGAAATTCTTGCTCTTCCTTTGGTGGAATTTTGGTGATGTTCCTCAGAAATTCACATATTCTGCAGTTAAAATTCCAAAAAGCTTTACCAGTCTAAGAGGTACCTTTGGAATTTGGGTAGCTTTCAGACAAATGACAGGAATAACTAGAACTCCTCACACACATTATTATATTTATCTGGTTTATTAAAAGTGACAATCTTTAGCCTCTTGCTACATAAACCTCACAGAATCACTATCTGCTTATAAAAATCACATTGAAATTTTACTAAACACTTGACATCAAGATTAACTTAAGAGGGGTGGCAATATAATGGATAAAGGTTCTTGCTGCCAAGGCTGATAATGTTGAGTTCAATCCCCAGAACCCGCATGGCAAAAACAGAGAGAGACCTACATGCACACTGTGGCATGGATGCATTTACACACACACACACACACACACACACAAATTTTTAAAAACTAAAATCATGACCTTATAAGAAAGTTTCTATCTGTAAAATTTTGTAGACGTAAAGAAAAAAATGAGAAGTCATATCTAACAGAACAGATTTGAAGAAGGGGTTGGGGACAGGTTTTGGTCCTGACAGGCAATGCCCACTGCCAAAACTGAAGAACATCAGCAGAGCACAAAGGACTCGAGGCTTGCTCTCACCATTAGCAATTAGCAGAGAGTGGAAGATGTCTGGACCCAGAGCCCTCAGGGTTTCAAAAAAACTGTAAAAGCACATGGTGCTATGTTTCTTTAATGCAACCATACATGTGACTTTTAGCAACTAGTCTCCCTCCATGACCTGCAATTGGGGCAACTTTAACCCAAAATCCTTCATTCTACTATTTCTTGTTAGCAGCTGCCACTTATCCAACAATCTCTTGGTTCTGGGGTGTCAGCTTGCAGCCACCGTGTTAGTCCTTTTCCACCATTATTAGCCCCTGCAGGGCTTGGAGGACTAGACAGGCCACACTCGTGAAGTCCCTTCTGATGTGGCTGGCCTGATGCTATTTCTCTTAAGTTCTCCGTAGATCTTGGTCACAGAGCCAACTCCATCACCAGCCCAGAGTTACAGGTGCTGAACTGTGGAAGCAGTTTGTATGTAAAACCAGTTCTCAGAGAATGATCTTTCTGTTTGGTCAGAGAGCCTGTGGCCACTCATTCAGGGACTTTCAGTTACCTCTTTCATGGTAACACCAGGCCCCATGGAGCCTTTGTGCTGCCCACCAGGGAAAAGGGAGAACTTCTATTACTTGGCATATGGTCTTTCAGGTTCATTTATATATTCATGATATACAATATCAGTATTGGCTTTCACTAGTATAAGCCACCTCCCAGAGAAAGAGAGAGAGAGAGAGAGAAAGAGAGAGGGAGAGAGGGAGAGACGGAGAGAGGGGGAGAGAGGGAGAGAGGGAGAGGGGGGGGGGAGAGAGGGAGAGGGAGGGAGGGAGAGAGAGAGAGAGAGAGAGAACACCAAATACATTTCTCTACTCATCCCTATGGACATCGTATGTGAATAGGGAAATGGTTTCTTTCACATAGTGTAACTATGATTACTTATTGGCTAAAAGGTGTCTTAATGAGATGATGAAAGTAACTGACCAACACTGCAAAAACTGTAAATCCACTGAGCTTCACACATTAAAATGGTAACTTGTATGTTACATGAATTACATCTCTACCAAAAAAAAAAAGAGATCTAAATTTATATAGTGGCAAATTATTGCAAAACTCCATCACTTTACAAAACAAATAACACTAAATTGAAGATATTTAAGTAAATTCTGTGGTTTGTTCCCACTAAAGGAAAAGAAACTAGAAGTTGGTGACACTGTACAACAGTGATTTTCTTGAAGTGGCCTAAAGCTTTTTACCACAATAGAAATAGAGAGGTATGTATCTATTCAAAAAAGCAGGGTTACTTACAAGTACCAATGATAGAAAAATGGTTGTTTAAAAACAAGAGAGACAAACATATTCAAAGTACCCAAGGAACATTATTCATTCCAACCAGGATATTCTTTTTATTGTTGTTTTGGTTTTGGGGGGGGTTGGGAGTTTTGATGTTGTTTTGTTTTGTTTTGTTTCTTGAGACAGAGTTTCTCTATGTGGCTTTGGAGCCTGTCCTGGAACTCATTCTGTAGACCAGGCTGGCCTGGAACTCACAGAGATCCGCCGGCATCCACCTGGGATTAAAGGTGTGCACCACCACCCTCTGGCCCCAACCAGGATATTCTTGTCCTTTACAGGACAATAATACAATCCTCTACTTCATCTGAACCAGCAGAGGAACACTATAATCCCAGACCTGTGGTTGTCGGTTATCATTAACCAAAGTAAGCAAGACAATTCAACCAAAGTACAGCTTTCTTTTTTTTCATTGCCTAACAAAACAAATTCTCCTAATTTGTGTCAGACTTAGCAAACTCTCCTTTACCGCACTGCTCCTTACATGGGAAGAAGGGTGATAGAAATGGTACCCAGAGCCATGCACATGCTAAGTATGCACTGTCCCATTAAGGTCATTTCCAGCCCTTATATTTCAAAACTTAGTGATCTTATTCAGAGTATGTGATATTCCACTTGGGTCACTGCCCCTTCACATGATGGTAAAAGGTTCAATTGTGTCCAAAGTAAGTTCAGCCAGGACTCAACACAAATGTTTATAGCTGGAAAGGCAATCGTCCAGAGATGACATGCAATGGGTGTCCCACATCTCCCATCTTGTCGGGATCTGGGCAAGCACCTTCTATTATTTTCTTTCTGTGGTCCTGACGATGGAATTCAGGGCCTCTTACATGTCAGGCCAACACTCTTAGCACTGAGTGACACCACTGGCCCCTTGACAAGACTTGTTGGAATCTAGTACTACTAGTAGTATCTTACAGTTAATAGGATCAAAGCTGGAAAAGAATTTAGAAGCCCCCTGTTGGGTACTCCCAACTGAACCTCCTCCATCAAGACAATGTTCACAGTTTTGTTGGTTTGGTTTTGTTTGGTTTGGGTCTGGGTTTTTATTTTGTTGTTTGTTGAGACAGGGTTTCTCTATTATACAGCTCTGGCTGTCCTGGAACACACCAGATAGACCAGGCTAGCCTCACATGCACAGAAATTTACCTGCCTCTACCTCCAGAGTACACCTGGCATATTCACAGCTTTAAACAACACCTGGAGATTCTGGTCTATGGATCCAGAGTGGGCCTGGAAACCCAGTTTTCTATCAGTTGTTTCTGATGAACAGCTGGACACCATTAATCTTACCCAGTTTCCTCCTGGACTTCATTATCCAGCTAGTAATTGTGCTGGTCAAGTTTTATGAAATCTCTGTGCACACTGTCCAGTGGAATCTCCCATGATGGTGAAAATAAAGTAGGCACTAACTAGGCTTAGCTACTAAGCATGTGAGATGACAGGGCTTGTCACATAAATGGGACAAACTGCTCTTGTACTCTTATTCTGCACACACTTATTTCAGCCTGAAATCAACTTTTTGACCCGCCCTCCTCACACTGACCCTGGGAATTCCCAGTCTACTTCAAGCCCTCCATGTTTTCTCTATGTTGGCCTTCCTCACACTGTGCACCTACATAAGTTTAGCTTAAAGAAAGAACTACACCTTAACCTCTGTTTTCACTTACAGAACACCACACACTCCCTGTCTAAACTCAAATAATCAGGACAGCTAGCAATTTATTTTCCAGGTGCAGCCTGAACAACCTACTTGTTTGTCCAAATCTCTTAAGAAGAGCCTAGAGCAATGCTTGCTCCCTTGAGGACATGGGCATCCTGAATCGCCTGCAGTCTCTATGGGAAAGGGTATAGTCACAGTGATGCAACCTGTTTTGACAACTTACGAAATCCTCTGCCATTTCACCAGTCAAATTTGAAAGGTACTCTCCAACTCTCCCTGTATTTGCACACCAGGACACATGGCCTTGAATCAGATTAAAAGACACCAAGAATGAACCGTGAACTCTGTAGAAAAAAATCTATAGTCTCCAAACCCATGAGGTACAAGCAACCTTGGGTGCCAAGGAAGCAGCACAAGAGCCAAACAGCAATAAGTTTCATCTTTCAAAGTGATGAAACCACAAATTTGCTCACTTTTCACATTCCGGCCTCCTAGAATTATTTTTTATTCTGAAAAAAGAAATTAATGTCTTAATTGAGTAATTAAAGAAAAGTAAGTTAACAGACCCATTTGAAGACACAGGCAGTGCTGAGATGAAAACACTGTAATACCAGTTCTCTTCTTTGCCTTAAACTGGAAAATGGGAATTAGACCTGACTGATACTTTTACTCCGAAAACCTTCCAAAGCTTACTGAAACACTGTTGTCAAATCCTCAATGTATCCTTCACTTCTAAATAGTTACAAGCATTAAAAGCTAAAACCTTCTCTTCCTGGACAGAAGGGTGTTTCAAAAGATAGTTCATAGTGTAAGGATTACTCTTTCAATAAAGTTCCTAAAGCTTTTGGCAAACCAATGTCCAACAGTAACTCTAAACGGCAATGACATGCTAAATGCCCCACTCATCTGTGTCCCACACTGAATAAAAGGATTGAACAGTTAAATTCCGCCTTGCAGTTCATTCAGACATCCAGAAGCTCTAATGCCAGAGCTTACTTTCAAAGCATGGTTCTGAAAGACGCTTCCCAATCACGGTCCAGCTGCCAGTTCCACCCTTCATTTACTTTCATCTCATTTTTTCAGTCTGTAACTTCATTCAAACCACCTAACTCACAGCCACCTCCATAACCTCTCCAGTCAAACAGTGAATGCTGCTTTTTCTGCAAGTCGGGAAACTTTCCAAAGTACTTCAAAGAGCCCTTCCACTATTAAAACCTGTTTTCCTTCTGTTCTGAAAACCCAATAATCCACCACTCCATTCTGAGGTGTGTCTAACACTCTAACATTGCAATCCCCCATTGTCATCTACAAAATTCACACTCAACCCTGTAATAAAAAAAAAGGAAAGAAATCTCAATGTCTTTAGGCATTCACAATTTTGTGTTAGGCTTGCAAGTTTTAGCAAGTATACTCTAACTTTTTGTTTGCTTCTACTTTCTTCAGATTCCTTGCTTTCTTTATTTCCTGCACTGAAGATCAAACACAGGACCTTAGGAAGGTGTACTAGGTAAGTGTCCTATCTCTGAGCTCACAACTTTCAGATTTCTTTACTTCACAAAACTTTCCTGTTCGCATTCAACCCTAGACCCTTATGGTAATCAAGAAGATAAATGGACAAACTACTAGAAATTACTGCAAAAAATAAATGAATAAAAGTGCTGATGAAAAAGACAAATAGGAATGTTATTATAGTAAGTGTGGAGAGAAAGGTGGGTGACAAGAACTCACTTTAGAAGCAACCATTACAGATCACTAAAGAAAGATAGAAGACAGTAAGAAACATTTACAAACAGCAAAATCAAAACCGTGTGAGCACAAATGTAAGACACTGGAAAAGATCAGGTGGAAAGAGACAATTTTGGAACTAATTTGTAGTCATTAAGGAAGTAATCCCCACAGAGAACCAAAAGCAGAATTAAAATTTTTTTAAAAGGTAATTAAAAATGTGCCTTTGCCCGGGGATCAGAAGTGTCACAGCGGCTGTTCTAAATGTTGGGCCCATCTACCAAGGGCCCCCAGTACAGGGTGCCCAGGCTTCAAAGCACTGCCCTGAGTAGGGCTCTGCTGCTCCATCCTTTTTCCTAGTTCTCCTGGTGTCTACCAGTAGACTTGGCCACTTCTCGCCTGTCCATCCTAAAGACTCGCCAGCCGTTAGTAATTACTTCGCAATATCCACAACAAGCAGGGTGAGCAATCTGTTCAAATCTACCCACATTTAGCAAGAGGAGTCCTAGGAAAAGGGACCTCGAGGCAACCTAAAATCGCTCGTCTCCCTAGTCAAGACCCATACTAGCACTTTCTGCGGTTTCACAAACTCCTTTCCAAAGCCAAAGCATGTTTTGTGTTCATCTTATTATCACAGTCAATAAAGCTCACCACCAGAAGCAAAAAGTATGTACCACACTCCTCATCACACTGCTGGTGACCTACTAAATACTTCCAATATTTCTAGCACATAAGTTAATTCCACAACTTGGAGGCTGATCTAGAAATTCAAAATATAAAACACATCAGAAAACTGAAAAGTGAATTTTAAATGTCTTATATTGGGATGCTTCAGCTTTTAGCTAATAAGAACACTCTTAAATACTGTAAGACTGGGGCCAAAAAGGGGAGATTTACTACCATCCCTATCAGAAAAGCTGCTAACAATGTCACGCCGGTTCTCTATTCCGAGATGAGGACTACAGACTGCACCTACAGTAGGTACAGACGAGGATCTTCGCAGGATAGAGACCCTGCATCTTTTCTGACTCCCCTTCAAGAAAAGTGAAAACGGGAACGCGAAAAGTGTCAGGTTGAGCAATGGCCAGGCGGCTGTCCCAGGAGTAACAGGATCCAGCAAGGTCAAGTCGGGAAGATGCCAAAAGGCGATGACTGCAGCTCCTGGGGTGCGAGGAGGGACAGGGAGGCCCGCAGCAATGCGAGCGCGGACAGCCCAGGTGCGCGCGAGGCCTCGCCCCGCAGATGCGTCCTTTAGGTCAAGGTGGGGTTAATGACGAGGGTTCTCGTCCACGGAGAGGATGGTCCCGGTCCAGGTTCGGCCTACCTGCCCTCCTTGACCTCCGGGGCCTGGCCATCGTCCGTGACGACCTGCGGCCGCAGGGGCCGGCGCTGCCGCAGCCCATCTGCCTCGCTCATCTTGCGGCCACACCACTGACTCCACTGGCTCCACCGCCTCGGCGGGAACTGAGCAGCGCGGGTTCCAGAACCGCCCCCCAACCCGGCGCGCGGAAATGACGTAGCGCCTAGCGACTGAGGTGCATGCCTGCCCCGCCCCTTTCGGGAGATTGGCACAGCAGTGTGACACTACCCCTAGCCTTGGCGAACCGCGCTCTGGGGAGTGGTGAAGGGGTCGGTCCTCCTTCATCCCAAATCTGGATGTTGAGGCCGTAGCCGGGGTCTCCCTCACGTCTGTGAGCTGGCCTTGATGTCTGCAGTAACACGCGTGAAAAGAGAGGATGCCACTGATTCTTAACCAACTGTGTGAAAAATTACGCGTTCATCCCCTTGGAGTGCAACAATCCCCACCTGAAAATCACTCTTTTCTGAAACGATTTCCGGAAAGATTCAAATGTTTCCTTTTGGTTAAGGTCAGATGTTGACTACTAGATCTTCAAGTGGTTACACAACAGACATTTGATAAAAAATTTCTAAAGGGAGTTATCTTTAAGACAGGACCACGTAGAAAAGACCTCTAATAACAAAACTTCAGGAATCACGAAGCAAGCAGCAGGTGGTGCGTCCACAGTATTACAGCCAGCCAAACATACTCCAGGAGTTGAGGTGAGCAGACCACAGATAAAGAGCTAATGGGAGCCACGACTTCAATAAATTTAAATTGTAATACAGTGGTGGCTTTAAAAAAACTTGACCTTGTGGAAGCATTTGACCAGTGAAGGAATGGGATATGAGGGTAGGATTGGGAGGAAAAGGCAAGGAGGAGAAACATTCAGGCAGAAGAAAACAAGTCCTGTCACTTACTGCACTGGGAATGATCTCTAGGATACACATGTTCAAAGTGCAGCCACTAAAAATTTCTTGCTACACTTTGGAGGATTTACGAAAGCATACATGCCATTACCTTCAACACAAGATGGCGCTAGATTGCCACCTTAATGTTTTATTTTTCTTCTCGCGTGAGGAAGTGGCTATTTCTTACACTTACTCAATTCTGTAGGAATCCCGGGTTATATAATTCTGGCCTTGACGCCACTATATTTGATTCCATTGTTGAAGGCAGACAGTATCATGGGTAATTTTAACAGATGTTGTGTGGTCTGGCACCTTCCTGCTTGCCTGGATAGCTTGCCGTTTCTAATTCCATGTCTCTGACCTTGACATATTATTCTTATTTCCTGATGATACACTTTTCTTTCACCGCCACCTAAACCTTTTTTATCATCCAGAATCCACTTCAAGTATCATTGCTGAAAAATCTCTTCTTCGACCCCCAGAGTATCTTTCTCTCTGGGAAGCTCTTTGAACATTCCTGAACTGTCACCAGAAGCCTATTACATCAACTATGTGTATCCCGTGCCCAGTGTGAAATGAAAGCACATGGACCAAAGCAACCAGAAACTTGCACACGAAAAATAATAAAAGAATTGAATACACTGAACTTGCTAATAAAGGAATTCACCAGAGGACCCATGAGCCCCTCAAAAGAGGGCAGTTATGGAAGGCTGCTCATGCAATTTGGGGCTAAAGCTATGTATGGTCTTGAAAGGGATTGGTTAGGATATGTAAACTAGAAGGGCATCTGAAAGAGGCAGCTATCTGTGTAGCCAGCGTCTTAGTGGAAGTAGGCTGCATCTTAAGTCCCAGGATGGGGAGTGGTCTCACCAGTGTTTCTCAACCAAGGGCTATTTTGTCCCTTAGAGGACATTTGGCAAGGCTTAAAGATTTTTTTAAATTATCGTGTGTTTGTAAGCTCTTGTAAGAGCTCTTGTTTCTAAGAGCCTGTGGTCATATCTCTGAAACACATGAGTCCACAAAGAGTTACTGGGGGTGCACTCGTGGCCTTATCTTGGAGCACATGAGACTGACTGAGCTGGGGTTAGAAAGGCTGAGCTTCCATTGTTTGTGTTATGCAACACGGCTTAGGAAGTTTTCTGTTTGCATGTCGTGGTAAAGTCCATTTTACTTGTTGTGTCTTGTTTTAGTGCTCTATTGTTCCATTCTGCCCTCCAGCCCTTAAGTCAATCAGCGTCACTGTCTCATTGTAACAAATATTTGCACAAAGAGGAATGGATCCGCCATGCCTGGTTAGGTCAGGTTTCTCAACTTCGGCACTATTAACATTTTGGACTAGATAATCCTTTGTTGTGGGAGTTGTGATGTGCAGTATAGGATGCTTAGCACCACCCCAGCCTTTACCCTTTACATGCCGGTAGCAACCCACCTAGTTTTGTGCTAGAGTTAACCTGGGCCTCCAAAGGCCCATGTTGTTAAAGTTTGGTCCTCAGCATGGGTGACTCTTGGAGGTATCACTGTGTTAAAAGGTAGGCCATACTGAAGGTCTTCAGGTCCCTGGAGGCATGCCTTTGATGAGAATGATGGGACCTTATCCCTTGTCTCTTTTACTCCTTTCGTCTCTCCACACTGAGGTAGCTGTTGCTCCACCACATACCTCCACCATAATGTGCATCACAGACCCAACGCAGTTGTGACCAACTGATGATCGGCTGCAACCTCTAAAACCCTTTTCTCTATACAAATCAGTGCCTCGGTGATTATTATTGTGACAAGAGCTTACAAACGCATGATAATTTTTTTAACATCTTTAAATCTTGCCAAATGTCCTCGAAGGGACAAAATACACCTTTGGTTGAGAAACACTGGGTGAGACCACTCCCTGTCCTGGGACTTAAGATGCAGCTTATTTCTACTGAAACACTGGTGTACCCAGACAGCATTCATCACAACAAAATGGGGGGGGCTATCCCAGCATGGAAGAAGAAGCATGTGGTCTAGAGAAGTCATCTCCCAGTGTGCTAAACTAGAGGGGAAAAGCTGAAATAAATACAAGCTGGAATTCTAGTCCTAGGCTTAACCCCCTAATCCCATACTGTTTCAGTTCCTTATACAGATACTTCCCAAGCCTGCCAGCTCTCAAGTGCTGTTACAAAACCAAGGGCCTAAGATGAGCCAATATTCACTGTTGTGAATAGGGAGGGAAGATAGAAAGCATGAGAACTATTTTAAAGGATTATAAGGATTAAGGACTGCCACCTTCAGAGAGAAGCTGAGCTGACAGATAGGAATAACCAGAGGAGCTTGTGCACCAACTCTGTGTAAGATTCCAGGTGGTAAGTTGGAAGGAGAGAGAGGGGTAAGAGACAAAGTTGGAGGGTTTGTTGAGATTGGTGACCAAGGGGAGGACGTCCAAGGGTAAGCTTCAGGATTACTGACTGACCAAAGAAAAACCAGTCTGAAAGGGACAAAAAGGATTAGAACGTGGAAGGAGAGACCTGGAGAGATGGCTCAATGGTTAAGCACAATTGCTGCTCTTGCAGAAGACTCAGGTTCAAGTTCCAGCACCCACATGGCAGCTCACAATTGTCTGTAACTCCAGTTCCATAAGATCCAAAGCACTTTTCTAGTCTTTGTAGACACCAGACACATATATGTGCACATACATACATGAAGACAAAACACACACATTAAATACATAAATAAACAATTTGCGGGAGTTTTTCAAGATAGGGTTTCTCTGTGTAACAATCCTGGCTGTTCTGGAACTCACTTTGTAGGCTAGGATGGCCTGGAACTCACAGAGATCCACCTGCCTCTGCCTCCCAAGTGTTGGGATTTAAGGTGTGTGTCACCACTGTACGGCTTAAATAAATAGTTTGTAAATGGAAATGACAGTGGCCTACTGAGAAAGAGCTTCCAGGTAAGCTGCCACGTCACAACGGGAAGCTCTGGTTTCAATGCAGGGAGAGCAGAAAAGATATGAGGCTCAAGAACATAAATGAACCTGTGCTCAGCTGACAGAAGCAGACAGCCACAAGAGCCAGCTTAAGATGCAGGAAGGGGAGCAGGGACTTTGGTGGCCCACACCTTTAATCCCAGCACTCAGGAGGCAGAGGCAGGCGGATCTGTGAGTCCGAGACCAGCCTGGTCTACTGAGTGAGCTCCAGGACAGCCTCCAAAACAATACAGAGAAGCCCTGTCTCGAAAAAAAACAAACAACAACAAAAAAAAGATGCAGGAAGGAAGGCTAAGCATGACGATGCAACGATGTATTTCCCAACTAGTCCCGAGGCTGAGGCAGGAGAGTCACTGAAGCCTGGGAGTTTGCGTCCCACTTGAGCAACACAGCAAAGTCCATCTCCAACATAAATTGAAAAGAACAATCAGGAAGGCTTTATTAGCAAGACAAGGGGAGATTCTATAGACTCTGGGTATAGAAAGAATAGCCAGGTCTAATGGGACTGGAAGTGGATATGAAGGAGGTAGAGGAGGAGGAAGAGGGAGGAGGAGGAAGAAGGAAGAGAAGGGAGGAGGAGGAGGGGGAGAAGAAGAGGAGGAGATGATAATGACAACCACAACAAGAGCAAAGTTTATTCCTTTTCACCACTCACCACCAAGTCCCAGCAGGTACAACCTTTGCTTTTTTCCCCAAGCTTCCTTGGCAGAGCCTGAAGTTTGGCTCCTCTCCTTCCATTGTGAACCAGTAAAATGTCAACTGCTGCCATTCTATCCTGTGACAGTAAGGTGGTCACATCAAGGATCTTGCCGTAAAATAAATACAGAAGTGTGGGAGTCCCTTTGAAAAGCAATGTTTTTGCTTGGTTGATTTTTAAAAAGAGACAAATGGGACCAACATATCATTGAGAACAGAAAGACCCATGGAATACCAACTCAGTGCCTACAGCACCAACTCTAGGCTACTTGCCAGCTGAGGAAATGGTCCCTTGCTGTCTAAGCCAGTCAACAGAGAAATTCACGCTACCCCCGAGAACATCATGTTGGACACACCAACACCCTTTACCACCTGGTTTCAAAACTAGCTTTCCATGACTCTTCATTTCACGTGTCCCACAAATCCCTGCCCAAGTCCCTATTCCTGGGCAGAACATCTTGTTTCGCAGCATCCAGTAGGATTCTATGGTCCATGGAACATGCAATGAAAAACCCATGGAACAGACAAGATGCTACCTGTGCAGGCAGGGTTAGACTGGCAGGCTAAGTGATGAGTGCTCCCCCAAGTAACAGACAGGAGACAGGATGACAACTGAAAATGGGTTGCCAAAGAAAATTGCTGTAATTGTCCCATCTATTCTTTCAGTCAGTCCAGCCTCAGCAGCCACAGGCTTAGTACATTCAGCAGGTGATGCCTCTCAGTGGAGTGGGTATTTGTTACCTTATTGGGAACTGAACTTTACCAGCCCCATTGTTCTCTTAGCACTGACTTTTTTTTCTTTTTCTTTCTTTTTTTTTTCTTTCTTTTTTGGAATGACACCACTTCCTCATTATTTATGTTCAATTACACCAAGAAACCATTTTGGTTTTGTGTTTTGCGGTTTGTTTTCCACAGTGCTGGAAACCCAAACTGTACCCCTGAGCTACATCCTCGGGCCCTGGAAGCCATGTGCTGTTTTAATTTGTTTAATTTTGTTTTGAAACAGAATCTCTTTGTATAGCCTTGGCTATCCTGGAACTCACTCTGTAGACCACTCTGGCTTTGAACTCAAATTTGAATACCTATGCCTACTGAGTGCTAGGATGAAAGGTATGTACCACCACTCCTGGCTTTAAAACCAGAAAGTTATCAGCTGGACGTTGGTAGTGCACACCTTTAGTCCCGGCACTCGGGAGGCAGAGGCAGGTGGATCACTGTGAATTCAAGGCCAGCCTGGTTTACCGAGCAAGTTACAGGACAGCCTCCAAAACAATACAGAGGATTCCTGTCTCCAAAACCACAAAAAAAGAAAGTTATCACTTTTATTTTGATGATTACCAACCTGCCTTTTATTCTTTTGTTGCACCAACTGACTGACATCTGTAAAAGTTCAGTGTTTCTGGGACTCCCAGTGATAAAGAGATAAGTGGCTTAGGTTAAGTAATGTCCGTCTTTAGGAAAGGAAATGGTCCAAGGTGTGTTTGCTCATTCGCAAAACTATCACAGATTTATAGAAACAGAGGAAGAGAACCCAACTGATTATTTTTACCAAGAAAATTCCACCCACAGCAGAAGTGAGTGGTGCCTGTTCTCCCAACAGGGTTGCAGACTCCTCCAGCCCTCACTGGCTCATAGATCTGTAATCTAGGAGGACAGCTAACACCCCACTCTCTAACCTTTCCTATTTCTAGACTTATTGAAGGAAGAATTCCTGTCTCCTGGCTTGTCACCTCCTTGGCCAGCACAGATACCTGTGGTCCAAGTTCCAAAATCACTACTCGGTGCTTTTACTAGCATTTATATGACATGAAAGAATACGCCAGTGTGGCAAAAAACCAAATGCAGACTCAGAGATCTGCACATGGCCAGTGTGAAGGGTGATGGCATGCTTCTAGCAGATTCATTTGGGGGAACAAACCTGTGGTTCCCTGAATCTCCCCCACATCCTTAATAAAGGGAGAAGAAGCCCAATACCTATCAAAGCGGGGGCCCTCATCCCAACCCTAGAGAGAGAGACTGAGACTTCTTCCCTGTTCCCTGCCTTCCAGAGAACAAGGCAGGTGAGGACAATAGTATCTCCCTTTTGAGCTGATGGAGCAGCCAGGCAGGCTTTGGGGTCAGGCAGCTCGGTAAAGGGCTTTGGTCCAGTCGTGTCCTTCACGTCTGCTCTGTTCTCTCACGTGGCCGGTCCCCTTGCACTGTGATATGAGCCCAGTTCTCTTTACTAGGGTCACTATCTCAAACAGGAAGAAAACTAACTTTGTTGAGCTTGATAGGTGGTTATCAAAAGCTGGTCCCGAGCTGTGCATTTCACCGAGGGGTTCTTAAAAATCACAGACTTAGACACCCCAGCTGTTATGATAAAGCTCGAAGGGAACCTTGATCAAGGTGGAGGGACAAACACGACAGGCAGACAGAGCTTAAATGAGAAGTGTTACTAGAAAGGAAGGGGGAAGAGAAAAGAGGTAAAGAGATACAGAAACAGAGAGACAGAGAGAGGACAGAAGAGAAGAGGGAGACAGGAAAAGTCCTATCTGCCCCAGGGTAACAGCCGGAAAGAAGGAAAGTGAGAGTGTAAGTGGGCAGGGGTCTTTCTTTTAAAGGGGTTCTTTGCACCTGCATGCAGAGTACACAACCATGGAACCCTGGGCTGACCAGGGTACTGCCTGAGTGCATTCTGCCAGGTGACGGAGGCAGACCAGAATAATGCCTGAATACCAGCCCTGTGAGATTCAATCTCAGTGTCTACAATAAACCCAGGTTCTATGTTGTATTGGACAGTCAGGGGGCCTCATATAATCCCTAGGAACTTCTATGAGTTCCAAAGACAGTAGCACAGTAGAACCAAGTAAGGGACTTTGGCCTTGAAAAGCCCATGGACCCTAAATGCCTACAACTCTGAGAGTAGCAACCATCGAATAGCTGAGTTAGAGCTAGTCTGGGAAGGAAATGGAACTAATTAGAATCAGTGCCTTAATGACATAAAGCAGCAATCTCCATCCAATGGTTCAAAGGACAAAATGGAAAGAAAAGTCACTGTCTGAAAACTTATCCTCTTACATCTTATCACTGGTGAATAACCTCCTGTACAGCTGACAGCTCATTTATAATGAGCCTAACTTATAGGAGGTTGCGGCTAGATAAGTCCTGCAAAATTGAGGCCAGCCTAGGCTACTTTAATAAATGTCAGGCCTTCCTGAGCTACAGTGTAAAACCTCAAAAGGAATTTAAAAGTCCATGTTATGTAATACCTTCTCCTTAGATGATAGAGAACAGGTAATCCAGAGTCATGCGATGAACAAAATGCTTTCAGCATTTGTTTAAAGATATCAGGAAAGCTGTGGCTGTGGTCAGAAGAGCATCTGAGACAGGCCTGCTGTCTGGAGCCACCTCTGCCCTGAGGGTCCCATCTAAAGATATCAGGAAACCCCAGGGCTTGCTGAATGAACATCCAGCCTAGCTGAGCTAGTGAGTTGCAGGTCAATGCACGATCCTGCCTCAAAAACTAAAGTGGGAGCAACTGAAGATAACCTGTTACTGACCTCCAACCACTACACTAATGTGTGAGTATGCACATGTATACACACACACACACACACAAGCACACAAACTATTTTTTACTTTAAAAATCTGAAGAAGAAGAAGAAGAAGAAGAAGAAGAAGAAGAAGAAGAAGAAGAAGAAGAAGAAGAAGAAGAAGAAGACGACGACATCAGGAAAGCTGTGGCTGTGGTCAGAGGAGCATCTGAGACAGGCCTGCTGTCTGGAGCCACCTCTGCCCTGAGGGTCCCATCTAAAGATATCAGGAAACCCCAGAGCTTGCTGAATGAACATCCAGCCCAGTTGTGCCAGTGAGTTGCAGGTCAATGCAAGATCCTGCCTTAAAAACTAAGCAACTGAAGATAACCTGTTACTGACCTCCAACCACTACACTAGTGTGTGAATACACATGTGCTCATGCACACGCACTCAAACACACAAACTATTTTTTACTTTAAAAATCTGAAGGGAAAAAAAGATATCAGGAAAGCTGTGGCCATGATCAGAGGAGCATCTGGGACAGGCCTGTTGTTTGGAGCCACTGATGCCCTGAGGGTTCCAACAGTTAGCTCGGAGAGAGTTAGTTTGACATACATTTGATAAGATCATGAGTCTAGACTGCGACGTGGCCATATCGGCGTCGCTGGTCCACGCCACAGTGCAGGGCCGTGAGCAAGAGGAAGCTGCAGCCCATGCGGGTGGCGCTCACGCTGACCCCCTCAGCTGTGAACAAGATAGAACAGCTTCTCAAAGACAAGCCAGAGCACATAGGTCTGAAAGTCGGTGTGCGAACCAGGGGCTGGAAAGGCCTCTCTTACACCCTGGAGTATACAAAGACAAAAGGAGATTCTGATGAAGAAGTTATTCAAGATGGAGTCAGAGTGTTCATCGAAAAGAAAGCACAGTTCCCACCTTTAGGAACAGAAATGGACTATGTGGAAGACAAACTATCCAGTGAGTTTGTTTTCAATAACCCCAACATCAGAGGAACTTGTGGCTGTGATGAAAGCTTCAACATTTGAAAGCTCAGGACTCCAAGCTCCAGGAGAGCTGGGATCTACCTGGGAGCTTTCTGAAGAAATCATGTGATTGTCACGTGTTCAGAGTTTATAATGTGTGGGCATCTTAAGGCAAAAAATAAAGTGATGCATATTGGAAATCAAGCCAGTGTGCTAACAGTCCCAAAAACTTGGTATCTGTATCTGAGAGACCATTGGTTTCTTTGGGCCATTCTTCTGTTCTATACAGAAAACTCCTACCTTGCTCTTAACACTGCAGTGTGCTTTGTGGCCACGGATAACAGGGGTGCACCCATAGATCCAGGAGGGACAACTGTGGGTGACAGCGTAGTGGTACCTTATTCCCCTCTCATATTTGTCATGGCCTTTTATATTTTTATTAGAAACATGGTTATCAGATGCCTCGTTTGTCTGCCCCTCAGCAGTTCCATACTTCTGAGTGATGGTGTCAGAAGGGGAGAGCTGCCAGGCCTGGTCTCAGTCCATCCTTTAGGACGTGTTTGGAGATGGTTTGCTTAGACCTTTCAGTTGGAGGTTGCTGTGACCAGCAGCCAGCTAGCTCACTGCACTTCACCCTGTGCGTGTGGAGACTAGAACTGAGCACAAGTTAGAAGAGCTAGACAGTACCCAGCTCTCCTTTCTGTACAGGTGACACCGGTGCTGTGTGAGACACTTAGTGGAGGTGAGTGGTGGGTGGCCTGGCTTCCGTGCCTGGGCAGCATTTTCATTAGACTTCCTTAACTTATGGGGATTGCATTAGTTTTCTTTTGAATGGAGAAGTCTCATTTAAAGCCTTTGTACGGATTGCCATCTTGTTTGTTTAGAACTTTGAAACAGTAGTTTGTTACTCTTGGAGCACAGGACCTACAGAGCAGAACATGGAAGTGTGGTCTTATAGTTCCCGATATACATATACTCTCTGGTTCCTAAATGAAAGAGCTGAATTTTTAGTATTTTTATCACCCATCTTTCGAGGTGTGGTTTTGCTGTATAGTACAGGCCAGCCTCACTCTCGACCCTCCCGCTTCAGCTTTAGACATGCCAAGCTTTTCTTCAGAGTGGTCTTGACTTGTGTTGACATCTTAAGTGACCTGTGATTTTCATGAAGTAGCTGGGGTTAATATTTGCGCTATTTACTAAAGTACCTACCACCAAAATACACCGTGTAGTTTTATATGATTGTTGGTAAGTCTGTATCATAAACAGAATTGTTGATACATCTTTAATTTGTGCAATAATGTATGTAGCAATTGAGTGTCAATTAAAAAACACCTCTTTGTGATCCTAAAAAAAAGATCATGAGTCTAGCAAGATGGAACCTTGGCTAGATTTTCCCTCCCCTACTCTGAACCCTCCCCTGTCCCTTTCTGACATACTTGTTCCTGGAATTGTATTCTTAAGTTACCTACATTCAAGCCTTTATCTCAGAATCTGTTTTCAGGACAGAGAGAGATAGAGAAAATAGAATGTGAGACTTTCCAACTATGGGAAATCAGGGTTTAAAAAAAAAAACAGGAGAAAATAGGTAATGTAGGCAATGGCAGTATTCAAAGAAGTGATGTTTAAGGCATTTCCAAAACTGACACACACAGATATCAAGCTGAAGTTTCAAGAAGTCCAAAGCCTAAGCAGAATAAATAAAAATGAATCAAAAGGGCTGCAGAGATGGGTCGGTGGTTAAGAGGACTGTTCTTCAGAAACCCTGGTTTAAATCCCAGCACCTACATGGTGGCTCATCTCAGATGTGATTATTATAAAATTGGTGGTAGAGATTAGATGTGGTAATGTGTACCTGTGATTCCCCAGAACATGCTTGTAGTCCCACCATTTGGGAAATGGAAGTACAAGGATCAGAAGTTCAAGGTCTTCCCACAGAGTAAAATCAAGCAGTCTGAGCTATATCAGACCTTATAAAACACAAAAACACACGAACCCATACACACACAAGCACACACATACATGCACACAAACACACACAGAAACACACACAAACACACACACTCGAAGAAAGGGAAGGAGGGAAGGAGAGATGGTTGTCAGCTGATGCATGAAGAAAGCCTCTACCAACTTCAGAGGACTGCAACCCTAATAGTGTAGTGTCAGGCCAACATGTAAATGAGCTAAACCACTGTGACAAAAGCTGGAAAATTGTCAGATGTAGTTACACATGTCCGAGGCAGAGGTTTGAGGGTTGTAGTTCCAGGACAACTTGTGATATATATATATATATATATATATATATATATATATATATATATATATATCAAGATCTTGTCTAAAACAACAAAAAATCTTTGAAAAATACACACATTTAGACATTTAGATACTTTCCACCTAGTATTCACACCTATCTCCCAGCACTTGGGAGGCAGAATGAGCAGGAATTCAAGGCCAACTTGGGCTAACTAGAAAGTTCCACACCAGCCTGGGCTATGGTCTCAAAAAGCCAAAAAAGGAAAAAAAATTTTGGGTCTTCTACACACGCACACACACACACACACACACACACACACACACACACACACACGCTCCACATGTTAGAATAGTTGTGCTATGATATAATAACATGACCAGAAGCAACTTATGGAGGAAAAGAGTTTATTATGGACTTAAGGTTCCAGAGGTATAAGAGTCTATCACGGCAGGAAGGCATGGCAGCAGGAGCAGGAAACTGAGATCCACATATTCGACCTCAGACACACAGCAAATGGGAATGCGTGCGACTATGAAATCTCAAAGCTGGCCTCAAGGGATGTACTTCCTCTATCAAACTTATAACCACCTAAGCCTCCCTGAACAGCACCACCTGGGGCCAAGTGTTCAAATACAGGATCTTGTGGGGGATATTTTCGTTCAGACCACCATGATAGCCTTCTAAACAACCAATGACATAAGGAAATCACAATGCAGATAGAAACTTCAATAAGGTCAGGTGCCTCTGCTGGCTGGGAGAGGTTGGAGGCCCAGCAGCTCCTCTGTGGAAGGGCAGATGAAGGGCATCAATACCAAGTAAACACAGACAAGGAATTCTGGGCACTAGAAGGTGGAACCATGCCCAGAAATTCAGAGCCTTTGTTATTAACTCTGTGGTAACCAAGGGAGCCCGTTTGCAGGCCCCCAGAATGTAAACAGTCATTCAAGTGTATGTAGAGTTTGCCCGATAACTTTCACAACGTCTTTGTATTGAAGTCCTTATCTGCTTAGAGGGAGGCAGCTTCTCAGAATTTGGACAGCCCGCCCTTTCCCCACCCCCTTTTCCAGTACAATATGAAGTGAAAATGTTGTGCTGCTCTAAAAGAACGCTGTAGATTGGGTGGCTCAAATTGGGTGGGTCATTTCAAACAGTTCTGGAGACTGGAAAAGTAAGACCAAGACGTTGGCAGATTGCATGTTTGCTGAAACTACTTCCTGGCTTGTGTGTGTCAGTGTCCCTGCTGTGTCCTGAACAAGGAGGAAGTGGGTGCTTCCACATCTTTTTATAATGGCACTGAGCCGTTCATGGAGGTGTCACCCCTCCTGACATCATCAACTTCCTCCTCATGCCGTTGCTTTAGGTGTAGGGTTTCAACACACATTTGACCCTTAGTAAAAGCTGTTTATACCTATGTGTGATACCATAGTTAAAAATGAATTGGTAGGGGCCAGGGTTGTCATTCAGTAATGGAGGCTTAGCAAACCCTAGCTTCCATCCTCAGCAGCAAAAAAGAAAGGAAGGTAGGAAGAAAAGAAAAAAACAAATGAAGCATCAACAGACTCAGAAATATCATATTTAATTGGTTTAATCCTGTTTATTATCCAACAAAATTTTTGAACAAGATGACAGGGGGATTATATAAATCAGATTAGCGGTAGTTGAAGCTCACTGGCATATTTCCTCCAAAAAAATATCATCACCTTGAGGGAGGCTTCCTCCTGGTCTTCCTCTAAGGTAGCCTTTCAGTCTAGCTCTAGACTGCATCACTTTGGTCCAGAGATAGAAGACAGTTCCTTAGTCTAGACCTAGAAAGGATTCCCTTGGTCTGGACCTAAAACATGGTCCCCTTTAAGTGGACCTAGGCTACTTTTCTAACCAAATTAACCCATTCAGAGAGAACCTCAAAGTTCACAATAAGATACAAACTAGTAAAAGTTACAGCTGTCCCTGCCCCTCTCCAAACTGCATCCTATAGAGAATGGGCCCTGCACCGTCCCAGGGCAGCACAGTGGAGATGTCTCTGTTGGTGAGGTGTGCGGGAGAGCTGGCCTTGAATATACAAGGGGGGGAGAGCTAGTGCCACAGACTGTCATCACAGGGTGGCATGGGCGAGGGAGAGAACCCCCCTTGCTCCTTGCCCCTCAGTGATAGATACTGCCTGATAGTCCCAGATCACAAGAATGGGATTGCTGATGGCGCCCCTCACCCGCTGCATCACTTAGGAGAGTGGGCCCTGCACTTAGCGCAGGCAGCAGACAGCGCAGTAGAGCTGACCTTGCTGATGGAGGCACAGGTGATCCTGCCTGTAGGCGATCTGACTCTACCCTTCATCTACCGAAGGTGGGGTGGGGGAAGGAGAGATGACCTCCTCTCTCTGCAGCTGCCTGTGGCGGGTGGGAGAGACGGCCCTGAGGTCAGGAGAGTGGAAAATTGGCACTGCACTCCACCACTGGCATCAGCTGTAGGGAGAGAAGGCCGTGCACCTCATCTGGGCAACTCAACAGACCTGACCCTGCCCACCCCTCTACCGTGTGGTGGCACGTGTAAGGAAAAAAAAATGACCTCCCTCCCCTAGGCGCATGCCACCTGTGGCAGGTGAGAGAGCTGGCCTCTGGCCCTCGAGGGTGGGAGAACTGGCCCATCCCCCACCCCGGCGTGCACACCAGCTGTGGTACATGGGAGAACAGGCCGGACACCCCGCTTGGGTAGGCAGGACATTAAAGCTTATCCTGTTGGCAGGGGTACAGGCGAGCCAGGCCTATGGGTGTGACACCAGGAGAGCTGCTCCTGCCCCCTCCCTGGTATGCCATGAAATAGCAAAGGTAAGGTTAATATGCCCTCCCTCCCACCCCGTGTCACCTTGCCACAGGCCAGAGAGCAGACCTCCAGGACATGAGAATGGGGGCTGGCCCTGCCCCTCACCAAGTGCATCAATCCAGAGAGCAGGCCCTGCACCTCGCCCGGGCTAAACAGTAGAGCTAGCCCTGGTGGTGTGAGTGCAGGTGAGATCAGGAGACCCTGCTCCTTGCTGTCTGCTAATCGGGTGAGTTAGCTGGGGTGCTTCTGGAAGCTCTCCTGGGTGCTGATGATGAGAGCTAGCAGACTGACCAACCCAGGCTACCACCCAGACCCAGAACCAGGACTACAAGGTAGCCCGCTCTGTGTGTGTTATGATCAATCACATCTTCAAGAGAGAAATTGCAGGAACCCACGAACCTCTTTTGCACTGTGAGTTCAGCTGCTGTGGATACAGCAGGGATGGATGCCCCCCCAGAATTTCCTGTGATTTCCTTTCGTGTAAGTGTGGCAGTCAAGGCATAAGGGGTAGCCATTTCATTGCCATCCTTTTTGACATGTATCTGTCCGTTGGTGTATGTGTGTCTGCGTTCTGTGTGTGCACCACAGTGCACACGTGGAGGTCAGAGGGCAACCTGCAGGAGTCTGTTCTCTCCTTCTACTGTATGGGTCCTAGAGCTTGAACTCAGGTCATCAGCCTTGACAACAAGCACCTTTACCTACCGAGCCATCTCTTCGGCCTCATTTATTAAACAAAGCCACACTTACTAAAGACTAACAAGGGCGGCCAGTCATGCTTAGAAATTGTTTCCTGAGTGTGGTGGCTTTCATTTTAGCTACTTTAAGTGAAACATCCTTAGAAGACACAGCTTCTTCCTGAACCTGGCTTTAATTTGTCTTTATGGGTACGCAATTGTACACATGGTCTTCTGCACTTCTGAGAGACGCTGTTCAGACCAACCAACCCCAAAGTACCCATCTTTGCCAGCTCTCTGGTCTTTTCTCTGCACCGCAGTACCAAGGACTTGGATCCTTGTCAGAAATTTCAGGGAGACAAAAAACCCAAACACAAAAAGGGAAATCCTCAAGAAACAGGCAGGTAGAGGCCTCCACTAATCACTGGGTCTTTATTCTCCTTCTGACAGGCAGTATCTTTTGTTGTCAAGCAAGCGGTAGGTAATAGTCAACTTCAAGGTGTCTTTGTGTTTTTTCTCAGTGGCCCTGACAGTGTCACATGGCCATACTTGAGCTTGTCACTTAGGAGTTGACCACTTAACAAGGTCAGGGGTGGTTTCCCCGAAGAAATGATGACTTTTCTAGAAGCAGTATGATGATAGCTTGATTTGCTAAAATGTTTGCCTTGCAAACATGAGTTCTAGCCCCATAACCTGTGGTAAATAGGCAGGCATGGATAGAATAGGCAGGTGTCCACTTGTAAGCCTAGTACTGGGGAGGTGGAAACAGGTTCTCTCAGGTTCACTGGCCAGCGAGACTAGCCACTTGGTGAGTCCTGGGCCCAGTGAAAGACCTTGTCTCAAAAAGAAAAGTAGATAGTTTTCCCTGCTCTCATGTACACCCACACACACATGTATACACATTTGCATACACAAGGGCACCTGCACACACTTGAAAACACACACGCACATATGAACACACTTACCAACACTTTTTTGTGTGATATCTTTTAAGTGAATAGACCCCTTGTAGCTTTTACCCTAGGATTATGTTTGTGGGGGTAGGGTTGGGGGCATGGACATCTGAGGTGTGTGCTTGCTTAGCATTCATGGGGCCCTAGGTTCAATCCCTAATATTAGAAATAAGCAAAATAGAACAACACCCACCAAAAAACATCCCATAAAAAGAGTGAACAAAATAGAGCTTTATTTGACTATTTCTATAGATCATTCTGAGAGCTTGTATCAACAACCTGGAAATCTAGACCATTTCCTAAAGGGCAAAGTAACTATAGTCAACCAAGTCTAACACATGGCTCTTCATTGCCGATTGTAACAAAGGACTATTATTCAATATTCCTGTGTACTACAACCACTCTACCTCCTGGAAGTATCAGCATATTTACCCCATTACCCAAGAAGTCATCACAGGTTAAATCCACAGTAGGTGTGCAGTAACTAAGATACCCCTGAAACACCAATATAGTGAAGTTCTGTGGACCAGATGGAATAGCCTTCCTCCACCCCAGGGGCCCTGCTCACAGAGCCGCCACACTCTCAAGCCTCCCATGCTTAGCCACACATAGCTACAAAATAAGATTTTCATGGCATTACAATTTGTATCACCTACCAATGTCCAAAGGACTAAAGGCACATTGAGAGAGGGATTACTTGGGAACACCAAGTGTCATCATTGGACCACAGTGGTTCTTACTGCCCCAGCTACAAAAGAAAAGGCATGCAGAATCTTCAGGAGCCCAGAACATTAATGAGACACCTGAGTTTTCACTGACTCCCACGAACAACTTCACATATTTATTTGAAGCAATGGTGATCTCCTACTAAGAGGCACCTCGGGGAAAGACACTCTTTGCAGATAACAAACCCAAATGATTTTACAAGTGAAGGGGAGAACATTCACCCTGTCTCTTGGGAGTTAGAGGTGCTGGTGTGTAGCTCAGAGGTAGAGCACTTGCCTAATGTGCAGAAGGCCCTGAGTGTGATCCCTAACACAAAAACCCTAAGAATTGCCAAGTTTGTACTATAACACAAACCAAATGAACCAAATATGAAACAGACACAGGAAGTGAACGTGGCTACTCTGATTACCAGGATCAGGACAGTCATGTGTAAGACAGAGGCACAAACATCTCTGATTTGGACCTCAAGCGCACCAAATGCTAATAAAAAGTACACTCTGTTATCTTCATGCTTCCCTGGGGAGACAGAGGGAGATTTTTCCCAATTCCTCAGAGAAAGAGAGAGAGAGAATGTTAACATTCACATTACACTTGAGTGTTCTGTTATTCTCCCCAAATAGAAAAGTACAAAAAATAAAACATCTGTATTTTGTATCTAGACACATCTGGAGAAAGTGTGATAGCTTTAGAGCTAAGTGGTGAACAGTCCTCTGGCCGCCCTGTGCTGGCTCACCGCCAGTTACAACTTCATTCTGGAAACCAGATGTAGGACAAAGGCCTCACCCTCCAGAGGCAGCTCTCTGGGCCCCAGGAGGAAAAGGGGGCTTCGGCCCCACATAAGATAGTTGAGGAGTCACAGATGGATCATGTGCTCAGATGAAACAAACCACCTTCAAGGTTCCTTCCCCTGAGGACTGCCAGGGGTCAGCCACAGCCTTGTGTGAGCATAGACGCAGGCACACCTCACTTGGCAGCAGCCTGCTGGTCTTCATGCTTCTGGAAGGCACTCAAGATTTCTGTGATGACACTGGGATCCTCCAGGGTAGTGGTGTCCCCTAGATCCTGCCCCTTGCTGGTGATGATCTTCCTTAACAGCCTCCTCATCACTTTCCCAGATCTGGTTTTGGGGAGACGCTTCACCACCTGACAAAGATGGGTGGTGTTAGGGTCTGGACAGTGCTCTCTGTCCCCAGTGTCTCCCCGCACCCGACAGAGTAAGAGTTCTCTTGTGGAGGATAACACTTCTCACTGAAGACTGACTCCACAGCAGCTGTCTGACACATGAGCCAAGTAAGGTCTTGCAACCTGACACTGAAGGACAGGATCTAACCTGTGTGGAAGCTTTGCTAACCCCTCCAGGTCTGACTGCTGGGTTTTGTTTACCTCCACTGTACTTGAGTAGGTTCCTACTCATCCCAAGCCTGGGACTTAGTTGTGTAAAAGCCACTGAGCAGAAAATTTTGTCTTACAATCTGAAGCAAATGTTAATACTTTAAGAGCTGTGTGTGTGTGTGTGTGTGTGTCTGTCTGTCTGTCTGTCTGTCTGTCTGTCTATGTGTGTGTGTGTGTGTCTGTGTCTGTCTGTCTTTCTGTCTGTGCGTGTGTGTTGATGATAGTACTAGCTAGAGACTGAACCCAGGGCTCCATGTATATAAATTTTTAGCAATGACTCTGTCTTTGGAGATAGTTCGCGTCATGAGTACAGTGGATAGGTCAGCAGTGTGAGCAATATGAAGCTGGGCTCTTCCTGCCTCAGAGGATCCCAAGCCCAGGAATCACAATGGAGAGGTTCAGTCAAGGTAGGAAAAACCTGAAGAGACTGGGGTCACCCAGGCCTTCCTGCAGGAACTTGACTCCTTGCTGGGCTGGAGGACCTGGTGCTTTCCCTGACTCTCAAATCTTTAAAATCTGTAATTGGGCTGAGTATAGCCCAGTGGTAGAGCGCATGCTCAGCACTCACAAGTCTCTGGGTTCAATACTCTCATGATTCCGATCTTAAATGCCCTCCAAATACTATGTTGAAAGTGTAATCACCACTTTGTCCTGTTACTGGGAGATAGTGGAATTTTAGGAGGTGGGATCTAATGAAAAAACCTAGGTCATTGGGAGAATAGCCTTTGAAGGACACATTAGCTCCTCCCTCCCTCTCAGCTACCATGATTTAAGCAGCTCTGTTTGCCGTATGTTTCACACCAAAACAAGCAGTGTGTGTGCAAACAAAAACACAGTCCAACCAACCAACCATGAACTGTAACTGTGAACCAAAGTAAAACCTTCCCACCATTTAAGTTAATTATTCCAGGCATTTTGTCACAGAGATGGGAAATAAACACATGCCTAGCGCCACAAAAAGAAAAGAAAAATCTATCCTCCTTACCGTTCAGTCCTGTACCTGAAGCCAGCTTTCAAATACAGTGCAAAAGCATCTAGCCTTGCCTAGGACTGTGTCCTAAACAGGTGGGTGCTGTAAACTTCAAATGCTATGGCCCTTCCCATTCTCAGGAAAACACACAGGAAAACCCAAACCACTAATGACAGTTTTGATGTTGGTGGAAAAGGAGCCTCGTGGTTGTGAAACTTCACCATTACTTGACATTTGTGGGAAGCAGGGGAGATTTAAAGAGAGCAATGCTATCCCCCAAGGGGGAGTTGACTCACCAGGATCTGGTCAGGCACGGCATACTTGGCGATCTTGGTGGCCACTGCCAACTTGAGTTCATTTACTACCATGTTTGTATCGCTGGTGTCATCTTTCAGCACAATGAAAGCAAATGCAGCTGGAAAGAGAACGAGGGTCTCTAAGTCCTGACATGGTTACAAAGTAGCAACAGGCTTCAGCTACTGCAACCCTGAAGGAGCATTCCCACTGCACTCCAAGTGAAAGCACCCCCAAGAGCAGCTCTGTCCTTGTTCCCGCATGGGTAGTCATGCATGATTGAGAGCGTGACACAGCAGCAGTGCTGATGGCTGTGTGTGACCACAGACATGTGACTCGACATTCTGCTCCCTGGGCTGTGAAAGAATGCCTGGTGTGGGCTGTCTGGAGATCAGTGCAAGATTGTCTAGCGGTGCACTGGCGAACACAAGGGTCCATGCCCAACAACACTGTGGTTCCTTAGCACAGTGGCTTTTTAACATAGAAATGAGTTCCCTGAGGCTGGGGAAATGGCTCAGCCAGTAAAGTAGGAGCCACACGGGGATAATAACCTGAGTTCAGACCCCCAGCGCCTAGATAAAAAGGCTAGTTAGGCATGTGGTGCATGCCTATAATCCTAGCCCTGGAGAGGCAGAGAGGAGGATCCTGGGGCTTGCTGGGGAGCCAGTCTAGCCAATCAGTGAGATCCAGGTTCAGTGAGAGACCATGTCTCAAAAACTCAGTGGAAAAGAGCTAAGCAAGACATTTGAGTCTGGCCTCTGGCCTTCACATGAATGCACTATACAAACATGCATGAGTGTGAACTCTCTCTCTCTCTCTCTCTCTCTCTCTCTCTCTCTCTCTCTCTCTCTCTCTCTCTCTCTCATTGCATGGCCATAATTCAATTGCTTGTTGAATGTGTTGGGGCTATTGTGTTGGACAGTATCAACCTTCAAACTCTTATCACAGAAGAAAGTTCTACTGGGCTGCAAGGTGAATGCATGTGTCAGTACAAACACAAGATAACATTTTTCACTATCCTGGAGAGTTCTAGAGAGGATGTACTGTGGCTCCTGTTGCCACACAAGGATCTACTCTTGCTGTTTGCCCTGTGTCCTGCCACCATTTCTGATGACCTGTCCTCCCTACTGCCCTACACTGCCCCTCCTCTCATGAAGAGTTCATGTACTTCTGTGCAGCTCTCCAGTCACTTGTTTGTCTGCTCTGCACCGGATCCCGTCTTCCAAATGTATCCTTCCCTGAGCTTCTTTTACATACTACATACACTATGAACTTCCTCACAGACCATGCTTACTGCTCAGTGTCTGTCTCTCCTTTCTGTTCCCTGACCACCCCGTCAGGTGGATCCATGGTGGCCGAGGCTTCACCTACTTCACATTCACTGCTGTGTCTCCAGCATCTAAACCATGCCTGGAGTAGGGTGCGTGCTTGATAAAGATGTTGGTGAATGGCTGTTTCCTGCACAGGCTATGATCTGCATGTAGTGAACCAAACTGCTACCACAAAGGCTTCCCCATCTCCACCTGAAAAACTCATATTCGGCCCTCAAAGCCCAGCTTGGTTAACTTACACTCTGTGATACTTTGTCTGACTCTGTCCACAAGTTATAGTATTCAGTCTCTGAGAATGACTGACAGCTTCTCTGTCCCCACCCTATCAAGTTGTGAGCACTTCAGAGGGAAGAACTGCATTGTTTCATCTTGGCAGTTGATGTGGCACTGGAGACAGACCTGGATTATGGATTCCAGAGGCAGGGACAAGGGGTGGTGGAAGAGCAGACCAAGAGCCAGACAGAGGTGTGCAAGGTCCAAGCGGTCATAAACCAGCAGGACCAGAGGCTGGCCAAAGCCCACAGTGTTCAGGTCCTAGTCAAACTACAGCCAGAGGCTTCCATTGCTCAGACGGAGTGGGAACAAACATGCAAGTATTTTCAAGGAGCCTGACATTAACTAAGAGCTGTGAATGGGCTATCTGTGTATTCCACATCTGTTAGAAGCCAATACAACACCTAGCATCATGCTTACTATCTGTAAATTTCCCTTGCAGTCCTGTAAGCACGCAGGGGCTGACAATACCTATGCTGAGTGCTGCTGCCAGAACAGGAAGAGACCAGAAGGCCCAGACAGTGTCAAGCATCGAACACCACACTGGGAGTGCCCCTGAAGAACCCACATACAGGCAGAGTAGCCGAGGCAGAGCACAACCCAGCATAGCCCGCCTAATCTAAAGCTATCCCTCTGCAGCGCAGCTTTTTTTGACCTTGTTCATATTTTCTGGGGCTCATCAGGGGCTAATAAATACCCAAAGGCAAGGCAGAAGGTGCCTGGGGGCCACAGGCTGCTTTTAGCGGTTCTTTGCCCTCTTGAGTTCAGGAATGAAGTACTGACAGTGTCTTGAAACCCAAATTGAACCTTCACAGCTTCTAAATGCAGCACCAATGTGATGCAGATCACTGGACCTCCGAGATATAAAGTGCTGGCACCCCAAAAGTGGTCCAGGTCCCTAATCAGATGAGGTACCTTCACAGTCACCCGCGAGGAACTGTTCTCACTGCTAACCACTCCCCAACCTGATGCTATCTAGACTTTGCCTCTGCTGGAGACTCCCAAACAGCCCTCCCACATGCCTGTGTCCCCCTAACAAGGTCACAGACGCATCAGCACATTGGTTATATGGTAATGAAGGATGCTGTTTTTAAAGCACTTAATTGGTTTTTAAATTTTTCAACAAGTCAATTCAAAGAAAGTGTCTGATGGGGCTACTAGAGATATGGCTCAGGCATTAAGAACACCAGCCACTAGCCGGGCATTGGTGGTGCACGCCTTTAATCCCAGCACTTGAGATCTCTGTGAGTTCGAGGCCAGACTGATCTGCAGAGAGAGTTTCAGGACAGCCTCCAAAACAATACAGAGAAACCCTGTCTCGAAAAATCAAGAAAAAAAAAACACCAGCCACTCCACCAGAGGCCCAAGTTCCTATTCCCAGCATCCTCATGGCAGCTAATAACCATCTGTAAATCCAGTCCCAGGAGATCCAATGTCCCACTCACCCCTAGCCCCACCCGTGCAATCCCTATTCTCTGTGGACACTGCACACACACAGTGCACAGACATTCATGCAGGCAAAACATCCATAGACATAAAATAAAAATACAGAAAAGAAACGGTCCTGTCTGAGGGACTGCGGAGCAGTGGTAGACTGCAAACTTAGCATGTTTGAGGACTTGGGTTCTAGCCAGGACATTTTTTAAAAAGTTAACTTGTTTGAGTAAATACAGCAGCACAGAAGTGTAGACAAGAGGCAGGTGATAGCTGGAGAAAGCTGTAACCTGGAATGTCCCTAAGTGGAGAGAGAACACTCAATCCCACTGGGCAGGGAAGGCAAGGTCATCTGGTGCAGAAATGACCTCACACGGACTTAGGATATGACCAGGTCACTCTGAGTGCTGTGGACCTGCCATTGCAACACTCAAGTGTTTCCAGGCACTGCCACTTGGGAATTGGTTGACTCGGGGTGGAGACAGGGGATTAAAGCAACACATCATTGGTTTAAGATCATTCTGATACCTTACCCTGCCCTCCCTTGCCACGTCAAAATGCAGTGGAGTCACAGATGAAGCTTCCCCAGCGTCTCACACACAGCCTGCTACAGCGCAGTGCACAGGTAGGGTAGCTGCAGAGCTGGCACGAGTGCTGAAACCACGCAGGCGGGTGGGCAGCAGGACATGCATAGGGCTTAGAAAGTGCCCTGGAGAGATCTATAGCTAACCATTGGGCCAACCTCCCGGAGTATAATCGGAGGGAGGGAGGAACAATAATATGAACAAAGGAGTCAAGACCATGATGGGGGAAACTACAGAATCAGCTGACCCAAGCTAGTAAGAGATCACTGACTCCACACTGTCAACTGGGGAACCAGCACAGGACTGAATTAGGACCCCTGAATATAGGAGATAATGGTATGGCTTAGGCAGTATGAGGCCAATGGCAGTGGGACCAAGATCTAATTATAATGCATAAACTGCCTTTGAGGAGTCCATTCTCTATGGAGAAACACTTTGCTCAGACTAGACATGGGGTGGGGGTGGGGGCTTGGTCTTGCTTCAAGGAGATGAGGAGACAGACTTAGTTGACATCCTAGGGGAGGCCTTACCCTCTCTGAGGAGTGGATGGGAGGTAGGATGTGGGGAAGAAGGGGAGGGCATGAGGAGGGAGAGGGAACTGGGATTGGAATTGAGAGAGAGAGAGAGAGAGAGAGAGAGAGAGAGAGAGAGAGAGAGAGAGAGAGAGAGAGAGAGAGAAGAGTGAGCAAGCCCAGTAGATACTAGGAACAGAGAACAGAGGAGACTTCCTAGGTCAGCCAGGGGCCAAATAGGTCAAGGCTTCATGTGGCCTAGTGTCCTTAAGATCAGCAAATCTAGGCATTTCATACATTTCATAGCTCAGACCCTCAATGCTTACCTTGCTCAGTTTCCTCACCAGAAAGGCAACAGTATGGCCCATAAAGGCCTTTCACTGCATCCTCAGAGACCTATTGTTCCTTCTACTGGGGTATCCTGTTGGGCATGAATCTCCAGAGTAGAGAGAAGGGGGCACTTACCTTCTCCCTTGATGTCATGAGGATACCCAATGACAGCAGTTTCTGGAACAGCAGGGTGGTCAGCCTGTGCACAACAGAGGACAAAAGGCCCTGAGGTGACTTGGGTGTGCAATCCCAGCCTGACTCTGAGGTCAACAGAGGCATCATTATAGTTCCAGGCAAAGTAAAAGGCAAGCTGAGCTTACCATTGCATCCTCAATCTCTGCGGTCCCCAGGCGGTGACCACTGATGTTGATGACATCATCCATGCGCCCTGTGATCTGGTAATAGCCACCCTCAGTCCGGTGAGCTCCATCTCCAGTGAAGTAATAACCTACACCATAGTGGGGAATTCAGTACCAAGGACTCTGAACCAGCCCCAGCACAGTCCATGGTCCAGCCCCACCCTGGAAGCTAACTCTGAAGGTGGGCTGGGTTGTTCTGTGATCTCCCTCCAGCAACTAATGCAAAACCACCTCTCTAGGCGATGCCAGGCTGTACACTGAAGAGAGGGCAAGTGGCACTGAGACTACATCCCATGACTGATGTCAAGACTGCAAACATTCAGGGAGCAGAAAACAGACATTAGCACAGTTGGGATGGCCCCATCAATATGAACATCAGCTGTAACTTTGGGACTGGGAATTGCAAGTTTCAGTGAGGCAAAGATGATGGCAGTCAACCAACTTCCAACCCAGGACCCAAAAGAAATGTAAGAAGAACAGGAATACAAACTATGAGAACACCCAGCCTTTGCAACAGCTTCCTAGGCATGTTTCTTCACTCATTTTCCCAGTATATACCAATATGTCCATCCCACACAGGAGCAGGTGTTAGTGGATAAACCCATGTCCACCCTGACCCCTACAGAGGCTTGGCATACCCACCCCACCCCACTCAAGATAAGTAAAGTTCAGGAAGCAAGGGGGCTTCAGACTCTCTTCCATAGAGCTGTCACATTACACTCAGTTGCCATGAGTTTAACCAGTCCCCTTATCTATGGAAACATGATTCCAGGAATCTATGGAGACAGTATAGAGCCCTAGCTGCTCACCTGGGTATGCTCTGAAGTAGGCATCTATGAACCTCTGGTGATCACCATAGATGGTCCTTGCCATGCCTGGCCAAGCTTGGGAAATGCACAGGGCCCCAGAGACGTCACCACCCTCCACGACATTGCCCTACAGATGAAGAGAGACATTCATGAGAGACCTGGCTAGCTCTGAGAGTCCTGACTGTTTGGCCTGAGGCACTGAACAGAACTGTCCAGAGCTTTCCCTCTGGCAAAGTCTGATGAGGGCACTGGCTTGCAGCAGTCATCAGCAGTGCTGTTTAAGATGGGGCTACAGGGAGTGTGTGAGGACTTGGCCTTTACTCCGGGGGCCAAAGCCTGCATCTCAGCAACGGGCAGAAAGCCGGGGGTGTGGAAGGCTTGCCAGATGAGTAGCAAGGCCTATGTGCAGGGGACAACCTCAGCAGGACCCCACACACCTTTTCATCCAGGAGTGCTGGGACAATGCCAAAAAAGGGCCTCATGGCCATACCCGGGAGGATCTCTGCCCCATCTTCCGAGGGCCGTGGTGCGATGCAGATGCCACCAGTTTCTGCAGGAAGGATGAAGAAACACCAATTGACCTGAGAACCAGGGATGACCAGGTTCCAGAATGTGCCCATCTAGGCTAAGACTGCAATCTCCTCTGCTGTGGGCACAAGCAGAGCTCTTAGCTCTGCAATCAGCAGTTGGGTGTGGGTGCTACCCTCTGTTTAATAGGCCCTCACTGGGTCCGGCCTGTGTTTAAAATAGGGAAGGGGGAAAGGCCACCTACTTGCACAGGAAGATGAAAGAAATGAGCAGTTGAAGCCAGGACCTAGTTGACGCACCACAATGAATGGTGAAGTCTGTGTGGCCATTTCTCTGGCACCTGCATCTATCAGCGTGTATGGCAGCATCTCATGAGGCCCGCTGTGAAAAGTTGTCTCAAGTCTTCCAACACAGACAAGAGTTGTTCTTTGAACCTGCCTCACGCTGGCTACTTGAAACACAAGACTTCCAAAAGCTGTGTTACTGTATAGTGGTGGCCTCTTCCCCTGAAAACTTCCTTTTTCTGCTAAAATTTAAATTTAGACTCTGGATCCCTCCAACAAAAGGACTTGTCTTCCTCAGAAGTTTCAGAAAGGGGTGGCTCAGTGGCAGAAAACTATTGAGCATAGGAGAGACCCTGGGCTTGACTCCCAGCGCTGCACCAAAGTTAAAAAGGAAGGAAGCAAGCCAGGAAAGGGCCCTTGCCTACAAAGGACAGTGAACTCCGAGAACTTGCCAGTCCACTGGCCTCAGGCACTTGCCCTAGTGTGTCGCCTCATTTCCTCCTTACTCCAGTGCTCACACAGAGGCTATAAGAATCAAGCTTCTTTCTAATTTCAATAAAAGTATATATATGAAGAAGCATATCACACCAAGACTCAGGAAAGCGTCACACGTCCCCTAGCAGCCAGGCTGTACCTCTGAGCCTTCTGCTCTACAGCATGCTGAAGGGACATGGGCCTTGTGAGCGTCATCAGTCACTTGAGAGCATGAACCCTGGTGCTGCGTATGCATGACCCCTCCAGTCCCCAGCTAGTCCCCAGGCCTGCTCCAACCCCCACTTAAGAACACTCACCCGTCTGCCACCAAGTGTCCACCAGCGTGCATCTGCCATCACCCACGACATTGTGGAGCCACTCCCAGGCCTCGTGGTTGATAGGCTCTCCCACTGAACACACACAAGAGCAAGAATTATTTCCAAATTAAAAACTAGCAGTCTTCAAGAAGGCCTGAAGCCAAAAGGGATAAATTATTAGGAACAGCTCTGTGACCTTCCTGAAGGTTACATCAAAAAGCCTGGAAAGGCCTGTGCTCCCATGTCCAGGGTCAACAGAGTAATATACGTTATGATGAGGTATATTCACCACGTGAGGAACCAGAGTATCACCCACAGTGCAGGCTGAATCTGGCACAGAGTTTCTGAGGAGCAAGTGGTGCATTTGCTGTAATATTTAAGAGGGTATATCCCATACAACTACTTTGGACAATTTTCAGGGGCAGAATCTGTTAAAGCTAGAGATATGTTTACCCCAATACCTGAAATTTTGACTCCTGACATTCATTCCACAGAACTGAGAGTAGAACCTGACTCCAAAAAATGGACATGTACAAGGAGAGATACATGCCAGTCTTGCTCATCACAGCCAGAAAGAGACTGCCTTTAAGGGCAGAATGGATAAATTGTGGTGTATGTATACAGTGGAATACCATACAGCCATGAAAATAAGCAGACCATTACTACCTGAGACAACACTTTGTATGTCACCATCCATATGAAGTTCAGAACATAAGAATACATTCCAAGAGAACTTCTACAGTGGTCATAGTAAGGGGTTGCTGGAGGGAGTCTTCCAAATTCTCTTCTACTTTCTAGTGGTCATCTGTGTTATGTATGAAAGTCTGTATCAACCTGGCTCTTGGCATCTGTACATTTGACTGGATCTTAAGCCTCTGAAAAGAGGTACTGTGCCCTAGCATTTTGTGGCCTGACTTCTCAGTGTCTGTCAAGAAAGCTCCAGGATTAGCACACAACCCTTGATCGTCACTGTAGAGTAACTACTGCTGACACAATGGGGTGCCCCTCTTGCTGGTCACCTATCAGGACTCTCCGGTTCAGCACTATCTAGCAGAGCCCCACGCCCATTCTAAGCACTGTGCTCACCTGACCCCAACGTGCGCAGGGAGGAGCGGTCATATTTTTTCACCCAGTCATCCCCATACTTCAGTAGCAGCCGGACAGCTGTCGGGGCACCATAGAACTGGTTGATCTTTAGCCTCTGCACTGTCTCCCAGTAGCGACCTACAAAAGGGTTGTGATCAGTCAAAGATCCCACCAAGCACGGCCTATTTTACAGAGTTACTAAGGGCTGGGTTTATTGTATGATCATAGAAAGGGAGCAATAACCATCCCTGAAGAATGGGGTCCCAGAGAACCCCCTAATTACAAGGTGGCATGCAGAAGCTTCTACATCCAACCTTGGATGACAGCTCACGTGAGGTGTTCCACGTGAGCTAGCCAGGGATCAGCTTCAGACGTCATTGCTGCAAGTTTTAAAAAAAAATGACATGGAACTTTGATCAGTGGTGATTAAGTGGACCCCAAAGAAATGACTCATCTTCCCTTAGTAACAACATAGCCACTGGTATGTGTGCAGTCATGTGCCCAGAGAACACACACTTGATACTGAAACTCCATAGCTCACACTATTCTCTGAAGCTGCATTTAAGCAATGACCCTCCATCCCTGCTATCACCCCATTATGCTCCCTTGAGTGCAGCTGGGGGGACCAAGAGGCATCAAAGAAAAAGTTCATGCCCCAACTCTGCAGTGTGCTACGGCAAGGGCCAGCAGCAGAGCCTCTGCAATTTGACTACATTAAAGCAAATATTTGGGAATATTGTGTTGTGTAAGAGAAATACCAAAGACAGCAGGATAAGGTCATATCTTCAAAGTGCAAGCCATGTATGGTCCTGAAAGCTTGGGCTATGAGGCTAAGGAGGGAGGGAAAGATGGGCAGCTGGCTCAGGCTTCAAGATGTAGATAAGTGGGGTGGTCCAGATACAAGATGGAGAATATAAAAGTGATGGCTCTCAGCGGGTAGCTTCCAATAAAGGAGCAGTAAAAGTGAAAAGGGCAGTTTTGAGATAAGAGTACTCCCTGATCAGCCCTCTCTCATTTCCTCACACAACATTAGGCTCCAGTTCACCTAGCAGGGCTCATGGCCTCGCATCTCTAGTATCCACTTGAATTCTGGTCAATGGGACACAAGAAAAGTTCTCTTGCCAGATCCCAGCTTCCAGGCTTCTGTGACCTTTTCCTCCAACTTTGAGATCCCTCCCACACTACCTAGAGCAAGCCTCATCAGAATTCTTGGTCCTCACCGGCATCAGGGTAAACTGGGGTGCTCTCAAAAAGGACCGTGGTAGCTCCATTGCAGAGGGGTCCATACACCACATAGCTGTGTCCTGTGATCCAACCGATGTCAGCCACACAGCCGAAGACATCTCCTGGCTGGTAGTCAAACACGAGCTATGGATACAGAAAAGGACCCTGAAGAATTTGCCTTCCCCAAGTCACCCTTTTCCTACCCACCACTAAGACACAGTCATTTGCACAGTAATCTGTAACTGTGACACAATCACACAGTTGCCAGGAGTAAGGTGAGTGATGGCTGCAGAGGTTTCCCACACAGCCCAGCAGAAGACAGAACCACCAACCCAGACAGCAGCAGTATGACCATTGCAAGTACCAAACAGTACATGGTACATGAGCATAGGAAAAACTTGCTGAGCTACAGAAGGAAGTTGCTCAGGTGTTTATACGTGATGCCCCGTGTCCTGAAACAGGAATGAACACAGTGGTGCCATTTCATCTCATTGTACAATTAAGGGGTGGCAACTTGAAGTGGGAATGCATATTGGCAGTAGAGTACAGGCTTGTCATGCATGAAGCTCTAAGTTCAACCTGTAACATCAAGAGAAGAAAGGAAAAAAATCTGGCATAAAAACCACTGTTTTTTATAATATTTAAAAAATTTTTAAAAATCAAACACAAGCACCCATTTAGCACCATCAGCTTCCCCTTGCTGAAGGGAGACCCAGTGACAAATGACTAGCTGCTGTAGACAAACTATAAGGAAATGAAAGGGATAAGGGGAACCCACAGGATAAAGAAAACATCCAACTATTGCGATGAGCAGGAATACATATTTCTCGGGATGTGGCTTTTGGTGTGAACCTTTAAAGGAACATGGGGCAATGATGCATCACATTACAGAGGATAGGACTGTGACTGTTGAAGGGGCTTCTGCAGGACTAATAGTCTATTTCTTCACCAAGGTGATGTTCATTTTATAGTAACTCATTGGAACATGCATTGGATTTGGTTGGATTTATGTATATTCAAAAAAAAGTTTTGCTGGCATGGTGACACACAGCTTAAGACCATCCACTCGGAAGCAGACACATTTCTGAGTTTGAGGCTACTCTGGTCTACATAGAAAGTCCCAGGCCAGCCAAGGGAAGACCCTGTCCCCCACAAGACCATTTTCAATCGTTGGTTGGGAAGTCCCCAGTTCCTGATGCCACAGACCAGGGTCAGTTTTTCCAGGAGTCAGCAGTCTGCAGGCAGCTGTGAAAGATTGTGAGCAACCAGACCCTTGCAGAGTTATGTCTACAAGCCAGCAAGGACACTCTGGAGAAAGAAGACACTTTCGCTGTTCTAGGGATCAGGTGCTCTAATCTTAAAACCCCAAAGCACTCAAGAGGGAAAAAATTATGCAAGCAATTCAGATCTAAATTATCTGTCTTGGGACTGGAGATTTCTTTCCCCAGAATTCTTTACAGAAAACCGGGGGCTGTGTGCAGTCATTCTCCAAAAGGCCAAGCAGCCAGGAAGGCCTATGACTCCACTGCATGCCCCAATGTCATTCACACCTCTATCACCCTTCACAGCAAACCATCTTCTTCCCTAGCAGCCTCAATACCATCAGCATGCACCCATGTGTATGGGAACACCCATAAACACATGATCACATGCATGTGCACAAATATGCTCATTTATATTCATCCACATACATCTATACACATGTAAACATTCTCCCAGGTGAACACATACATGCATATTAAAACATGCACCCTTGTGCGTGAGCACACACAAAGATCCCTTCAACTATGACAAGCATCATTAAGGACCCTAGCATGTACTGTCATCTGAGCACAGGGCAAGCACTATTTGAGAAGGATTAGGAGATGTCACCTTGTTGGAGGAAATGTGTCACTGGGGGATAAGCTTGGAGATTTTTAAAAGCCTAGACCAGGCCCAACTTCCCCTCCACTACTTGTGGATCCAGATGTAAATCTCTTAGCTACATCTCCAGTGTCATGAATGCCACCCTGCCACCATGCTCCTTGTCACGATGATGATAATGGACTAAACCTCTGAAACTGTAAGCCAGCCCCCATTTAAACACTTTTTTATATATACAGGAATTGCCTTGGTTGTGGTGTTTCTTCATAGCGATAGAACAGTGACACTAAGCCAGAAATTGGTACCAGCGACTGAGATATTGCTATAGCAGGCCTGATCATGCTGTTTGTTGGGAAAATATGGAAGACAGGGACTTTGGACTAGAAAAGCATTTGAATGCTTTAAACAAAGTTTAACAGGACAGTCTAATAGGAACATAGAAGACAGTGCTGAGGGTGATTTGAACTGTGGGGGCCCAGCTCAAGAAGTTTCAGAGGGGAAGAGCATTAGTAAGTTGCCTAGAGACCATCTTTGTGATATTGTGGCAAAAAATAAGGCTGATTTTTACTTTTATCCTAAAAATCCACCTAAGACTAAATTAGAGAGTGTCAGATTAATGACCTTGGTAGAGGAGATTTCAAGACAGCCTAGTTGATGATGGAAATAATGCTATCTGAAAAGGAAGTCTAAGATACTTTATTGAATCTAAAAATCAATTACTGAAAAGAAGCTCTGTTGTCCTCCCAAGTGGCCAGTGTCCAAGACAGAGAGAGATTTACTTTCCCTTCTCCTTTTATTCCTCACCTGTCCCACATACCCCCTGTCCATGCCCCCAGGGAATGTGAGCTTTCCCCTACACCTAGTATTGATTCTGTTGTGTGGTTATTAATCACTGTGTGTGTGTGTGTGTGTGTGTGTGTGTGTGTGTGTGTGTGTGTTTAGTGAAAAGTAGCAAGCTGAATAAAGAGAAATACAAAATGTACAGTTTGAGGAGAAAAAGTACCTGGAAGGGTGATGTTGGAGCTAAATCCTGTGCTCAAGGAGATAAAAAGCTTAAAGAAAAGCCTGATGCTGAATAGAATCGAGTGGTCTCAGGGCAAGACCTCACCCGGAGAAGCTTCCAACTTGTGTAAAGGAATTAAGCAGCAAAGAGAACCATCAAGAACAGAAAGTTGATACAAATGTAATTGAAAGAGGGAGTCAAGTTACAATGCCAGCGGCAGCAGAATTTGGCAACTTCAGCCACCCACATGATGCTGGCTTTAGAGTCAAGGATACAAGAAGTGGGTTGTGAACTCTCCCTCCAGCTAAGAAAAGCTGCTGAGGCCAGGGGTGTGTGTCGAGGTGTCCTTGAACCGAGGTTGAGAGAGGCCATTGCATGAAGCTGTGAAAGTGAAGCCTGGATTATGTTAGAGCTCCCAAGATGTAGGAGTTGTCAGAGATGGGATACCCGCCAAACAGAGCTGCTAATAGGAAACAGAACCAGCTCAAAAGAGAGAAGAGTATTGCAGTCAACAAAGATGTAAGGATTTGGAGCTCTGAAAGGTGCTTTGACATCAGGCATGGACATACAGAATTTGGAATTTGCCCTGTTGGATTTCAGTCTTGCTTTGGTCCAGTATTTCCTCACTATGCTCCTTTTTCTCCTTTTTGCAATGGTAATGTATATTTTATGCTGTTCTGTGATGGAAGTATGTGATCTGATTTTTATTTTGATTTTTTGTGGCATTATAATTAAGATGTGTCTCAGAGATTTTGGACTTTGAAACAGTGTTGAGACCATGATAGACTATGGGGACCTTTAAAGTTGGATTGAATATACTTCGGCATTATGATATGACCACAAGCCTATGGGGACCAGGGAGTGAAATGGGGTGGTTCGAATGAGACTGGCCCCCATAGGCTCCTAGATTTGAATGCTTAGTAACCAGGGACTAGAACTCTTTGATAGGATTAGAAGGACTAGGAGATGTGGTCTTACTGGGAAAAGTGTGCCATTGGGGGTGGACTCTAAGCCCTCACCAGATCAAGTCTATCTCTCTGCCTATGGGTTAGGACTTAGAACTCTCAGCTACTTCTCCAGCATCATGCCTACCTGTACGCCACCACAATGACTATGAACTATACTCTGAAACTGTAAGCAAGCACCCAATTAAATGTTTACCTTTATAAGAACTGCCTTGGTCATGGTGTCTCTTCACAGCAATAAAACAATGACTAAGACACCAGCCAAGATTTTACTGGGACTTAAGGCTCTCTCAGGAAACCTGGCTCAAACCCTGGCCTCATGATAGCACAGAGCAAGCCAAGGAAAGTTACTACCTGCCAGAACAATGTCTAAGCCCTGCTCACAGAGACATGGGTTGGGTTTCTAGGTCACCTGGCCATATAGTTCGCTTTGCTGTTGCCACTAGTCATAACTGAGTTTACCTTTAGGAATAGAGCATTCAGCCCACCAGTAAAACCTAGAAACTCAACCCTAGCTGGGAGGTGTCAGTTACTCTCTGAGGCAACTAGGGACCAATGTTAAATCACAGTCCCATCAACACTTTCTATGTACATTTATTGGAATAAAAACATGATCTGTCATTTCACATGTCTAAAGGGTGGCCCACTGTTGTGTAATTTCCACTTATTAATTCAAATTTCTTTATAAAAGTGTTTTTAATCCTATTTTACTTTTAAAATGAGTAGTGCTAAGAATTCTCAATTGTTTTAGAGACTCAATTTTTTATCTTTCCTTTTTAGGGTCAGTGGAAAACCAGGTTTGTTGAGACATGCCTATAATCCCAGCTCTTGGAAAGCTGCAGCAGGAAGATGACACAGGTTTGAGGTCAGTCTGGGCTACAGTAAGATTCTATCTTAAAAAACAAAGCAAAGATTGTAAGAGCCAGAGGGGACAGATGACTCCAAGGAGATAATGTCTTCCAGACACAAGACTGACGCTAATGTGAACTCAGGGAGACTGTGGTGGCATGCACGAGGCCTGCACAGGTTCCCAGCACTGGAGGAAAGGTAGACACGGGGTTTCTTAGCTAGGGTTTTATTGCTGTGAAGAGACACCAGGACCATGGCAACTCTTATAAAGGAAGCCATTTAATTGGGGCTGACTTACAGTTTAGAGATTTAGTTCATTATCAGCATGCAGGCAGACATGGTGCTGGAGAGGTAGCTGAGAGTTCTACCTCTGGATCTGCAGGCAGCAGGAAGAGAACTGGCTTGAGCTTCTAAGACCTCAAAGCCTGCCCCTAGTGACACGATTTCTCCAACAAAGCCACATCTACTCCAACAAGGCCACATTTCCTAATAGTGCCAATTCCCTATGGACCAAGTATTCAAACACATGAGTCTATAGGAGCCATTCCTATTCAAACCACCACAGGGTCTCTCACCCCTAACAAAGAAGTTACCTGCAATTGGTACTCAATGGCAAAGGGAAAATCAGTGTTTCCTACATAGTGTTACTGAGTATATCAGCCATGCTCCAGGGAAGGCCCCATGTCCAAGCATAGTTGACAAATATAATATGGACTTGATGATATTTTAGTGGATTTTTCATTTTGTTTTTGTATTTTTTTCTTTTTTTGTTTTTCGAGACAGGGTTTCTCTGTCTTATTGGTGTTATATTTGTTTGTTTCAATTGTTTTTGTGGAGGGTTTTGTGTTTCTTAGTTTTGTTTTTTGTTTTTATTTTTGTTTTGTGGGAGGTTTTGTTTTTGTTTCTTTTTTTGTTTTGTGGGAGGATTTGTTTTTGTTTCTTTTTTAAGAGAGAACATAAAGTTGGTTGGTTAGGGAGGTGGAAAAGATCTGGTAAGAGTTGGGGAGGGGGAAACATGATCGAACTATATTGTATGAAAAAATTTAAATAAAATAAACAAAAAATCCCCTCAAGCAACAAAAAGTGAAGACCAAAAAGAAATGATGAACTTCTGAGTGAAAGAAAATAAGCATTTTAATATATAATAGTGAATGTACTCATCTATATACCAAGGCAGGACTGGGTTTGGCTTGGCTTTGGTATTCTGCAGTCCTGGAGATGGAAGTCAGGCTTTGTGCATACTAAGCATGTGTTCTACCTCCCCAGCCCTGGTAAGTTCCTGCTGTTTGTATCCTTTCTGTTTACAATGCACTTGTAAGACACACATGTAAGGAGCTCAGGAAGTCAAAACCGAAGGGGTGCTATGAGGGCTCCATCACCCACACCTCCAGCAGCAGGAGTTGGAGCAGGGCAGAGGGACTGCTGGGTCACAGCAAGCTCAGATGCTCTTCTTTGTCTTTCACACATTGGTTCTACTGCACCATAACTCACTGCAGCCTACTCATAAGCATGCTACAAGCAAACATCAGTACCACAAGGCACCGTTGTAACTCTTCCTCGCCCTTCCCAGAATCTGCCAGAGACATAGAAGGGGCCATCCTTAACCCCCCACCCCATTCCTACTCCTACCTTGTGCGTCATGGCAGCATACAGTAAATAGCCTGCCTGCGTATGAACGAGTCCCTTGGGTGATCCAGTGCTCCCAGAGGTGTAGAGCATAAAGAGCATGTCTTCACTGCTCATGCTTTCAGGGGCACACACAGGGGCCTCATTGGCCATCTCCTGGAAGGGACAGAAGCATATCACTGGGTCAAGGCATTTAGTCACTCCCTCCATTTTCCTAGCTGAAGTCAGGACTCTCAAAGTTTACATTCCTTGTCAATTTCAAATACAAAGTAAAAATGATGGATTGAGGCTGGTGGTGTAGCTTGGTGTTTGAGCTCCCACTCAGCATACACAAAATGCTGGGTTCCACTCCCACTTCGGGGTAGGGGAAGAGGAGGTGGGTGCTGGGGCACCTCTAGAAAACCCAGACTAAGAGCCTAACAATTCCCAGACCCAGGTAATCTAATAATAATCTCACCTCACACTGTACCACATGAGGTAAATAAACCCACCTGCTCAAGGGGGATGTCCAGATGCCCCATGTGAACCTTGGCATCTGTCCTGTGGGCCACCAGGACATGCTGGACCGTTGGGCAGTTCTTCACAGCTACATCTACTATTTTCTTCAGCTCCACCACGCGCCCTCCCCGGAGTCCTTGGTTGAAGGTGATAACAACCTTGCACTTGGCTAAGGAACACAACACAGACTGTCTGATCAGTATAGACCCTCACAGCCCAATCTGACTGTCTGATCAGTATAGACCCTCACAGCCCAATCTGACTGTCTGATCAGTATAGACCCTCACAGCCCAATCAGACTGTCTGATCAGCATAGACCCTCACAGCCCAATCTGACTGTCTGATCAGCATAGACCCTCACAGCCCAATCTGACTGTCTGATCAGTATAGACCCTCACAGCCCAATCTGACTGTCTGATCAGTATAGACCCTCACAGCCCAATCTGACTGTCTGATCAGCATAGACCCTCACAGCCCAATCTGACTGTCTGATCAGTATAGACCCTCACAGCCCAATCTGACTGTCTGATCAGTATAGACCCTCACAGCCCAATCTGACTGTCTGATCAGCATAGACCCTCACAGCCCAATCAGACTGTCTGATCAGCATAGACCCTCACAGCCCAATCTGACTGTCTGATCAGTATAGACCCTCACAGCCCAATCTGACTGTCTGATCAGCATAGACCCTCACAGCCCAATCTGACTGTCTGATCAGCATAGACCCTCACAGCCCAATCTGACTGTCTGATCAGTATAGACCCTCACAGCCCAATCTGACTGTCTGATCAGCATAGACCCTCACAGCCCAATCAGACTGTCTGATCAGCATAGACCCTCACAGCCCAATCTGACTGTCTGATCAGTATAGACCCTCACAGCCCAATCTGACTGTCTGATCAGCATAGACCCTCACAGCCCAATCTGACTGTCTGATCAGTATAGACCCTCACAGCCCAATCTGACTGTCTGATCAGCATAGACCCTCACAGCCCAATCTGACTGTCTGATCAGCATAGACCCTCACAGCCCAATCAGACTGTCTGATCAGCATAGACCCTCACAGCCCAATCTGACTGTCTGATCAGTATAGACCCTCACAGCCCAATCTGACTGTCTGATCAGTATAGACCCTCACAGCCCAATCTGACTTGTAGCTGGATATTCCGGGCCTAACAGTGTGACAGAGGGAGTCCAGTCAAGCAAATGAACCCACAGAAAAAAAATGTTGTGGAAGCTCCGTGGATCACATAGAAATTCCCATCTTTCCCCAGCTCTGAGGATGATTGGGAAAGAACCAGAAACAAATTATCTTGAGACTAAACTATTCCTCCACAAGCCAACATATAGACAGTTTCCCAGCCAGGCTTCTACCCTCTTACCTGCCCCAGGAGCTTTCCCCAAGTGAGGGATGCTCACAGTGCCTAGTGTAACCACTGTGGCAGAGAAACACCAAGAGATTAAGACCGAGTCCCAAGGCTTCCACGTAGCCAGCCCCACCAGTGACTTCTGTAGGACAAGGCCCTTTGCTGTCCAGAGAATAGAACCACCTCCTCTAGGTGGGTGCCAGGATTTGTAGCCCAGTCTTGCCTTCAGGAGAGCACTCCCCTGTCACATCCTTCTCTTCAAAGACCCGTCCAGGCTTCATTCAGAACTCTCCCTGGAAATCCACACTTCTACAGCCAAGCTAAGTGAGGCCCAGCACAGAGTGTGAGAGACAATATGGTTCTGAGGGACTACCCTTCACACTGTCTTAAGGGGATAACCCAACAGAATCCTGTATGTGCATCAATTTTCAGTCTGCCCTGTGTAAGAGTCTAAATACTCTTCAGTGGCATGGCCTGCAGGGGTTCCCCACACTCTTGGGTGTTATAGATTGGATTTCAAGAGTCTCTCACAGGCTCCAAGCTCATGGTGATATTTTGAGAGGTTCTAGAAACTTCAGGAGTAGAACCCAGATACAGTAAGTGGGTTACCTGGGGCATGAAGTTGAAAATTGTATCCTAGACACACACACACACACACACACACACACACACACACACAGAGAGAGTCTCTTCTCTGCTTTCTGTCTGCTATGAGGTGAGCAGTCTTTGCTTGATGTACCTACAACCATAATACTCTCCCTACCTGTGGGCACAGAATCAATGGAGTCAAGCAAAATGGACTGAACTCTCTGAAAACCTAACCCAAAATAAGCTCTTCTTCACTTAAGGTAGATTTGTTTTCCTTTAAATTATGTATTTGATTGCAACGATACAAAAATAATTAATACCCCAGGGCCTTAAATCTCTGAACCAAGCACCTATCCAAGGTGCTAGGAAGTTACCCACACAGCTGTCTTCACCCAATGGCTCTCAGGAGACAGGGTGTGGATCAGCAATGCATATGGTTACCCTGCTGCTGATCCTGGGTCCTACACTACTGTCCATGTTCTCCTGTAAGGAAAGCTGTGGAGTCCAGTCTGAACTCCTCTTGCCTGACCTACAGCCTACCATCAAAGGCGCTTCACAGGGTCACCTCCTAGATGACTGGAGGCATAGGCTCTCCTCAATGGACAACCCTGAAGAACAGTTGTAGGAAGGGCCCTCCTGACCAGCCAAGTGCTGCACTCCCATAATGTCATTCAGAGGTCCTCAGGCTCTGGAAACTTCCCCAGTACCCAGCCACCAAATAACCACATGCTATATACAGCTAGGGCTACCTATGATTCCTCATCTTAATTTCATGTGTTTTATCATGAAATCCATTTTAAAACTACCAAAGTTAATAAACATTCAATAAGCTTATAGAATATAAAATAAAATGGAAATTTTCATTGTGTTTGATGGATAAAATGTTGCCAATCCCAGCCCAAGGAACTGAGGCTAGTAAATTTCAAGTTCAAGGCCACTGAGAAGACTGTCTCACTACCGTGGGTGGGGGTGTGTTGGTTCATCATACACAAACAAGGCCTGGGGACTCCTGAGCTCCTCCAGTGCCCACCCATGCTCACCATCATTGATCCTCCCAGCCAAGGACTCTGCACTAAAGCCAGCAAACACCACTGTGTGGATAGCTCCGATCCTGGCACAGGCCAGCATTGCCGCCACAGCCAGTGGGGACACAGGCATGTATATGGCCACACGGTCCCCTCGGTGCACTCCATGCCTCTTCAGTGTGTTGGCCAGGCGGCACGTGGTCTCCAGAAGCTCCCTACAGCATAGAGAAGAAAAGGCCATTATGGAGAAGAGCCACAGTACAACACAATGCAGAGTGAGTCAAGTCACAGACTACTGGCGCTGTCAATGCGGGAAAAGAGCAGGAAATTTGCAGCATGGCAACAGAGAAATGTGTTCGACATTTGTACATGGTCAACCACGTTGCTAAGGCTGCCCTCACAGCCATTTTAGTTTCTAAGAGGTCATGTTCCCAAGACTTCTGAGAATGTTGGCTTCCAGGAAATAAAAATAAATAAATAAAGGCAGAGGCAGGTTGTTAGTGTTCAGGCATCTGTACTGGCCTGTCCTTGGGGTTCTGACAGGATACTCCCTCAGCTGTAGCCACAAGAGTGCCTTCTGTGCACATTCACTATGTTCCCTTTCTAAAAGGGCCCTGCCCACCTCCCATCCTCTCTCCCTCTTTCTCTCCCTCTCTCTGTCTGTCTGTTCCTCTCTACTGCTGCTCCTGTCCCCAGAGGCCAGCCCCCCTCCTCCTCTTTTCCCCTTTTATGATCCCTTTCCCTAATAAAAAAAAACTCTGCTTGAACCCTGTTGCATGGTGTCTTTTTCTCACACACTGCTTTTCTTACACTATAACACAAGTTTTTAAAGAAAGTCTTCTGGCAAGAGAAAAGGAGGCTCCCAATTTTCTATATCAACAGAAGTCAAAGCACCAAGAAACTCTCTTCCAGTCAAGTGCTTAGACCTTGGACAGGTGCCAAACTGACGAAGCCATGGTGACTGGGAAGAGAAAGCAACAGAAAGATGACTACCCTGCCTGTATCTATGCCAAGCACTGACTGGGCACAAATGACAAATTAACAACACACACACACACACACACACACACACACACACACCTATATCCACATGATATAAGAATCTTTCACCAGGTCACAGCATTTAGCCAGCTAATCAAAAGATAACAAGTTGGGTTGACTCAGAGTTAATTAGTGATTCTTTTCATAATCATAGCCCTTGACTAGTCATAGCCCATGATTCTGAACTCCAAGAAAATCAGGAGTAGCCAGATGGAGATGGTGCACACCTTTAATCCCAGCAACTGGGAGGCAGAACCAGGAGGATCTCTGAATTTGAGGCCAGCTTGGTCTACAGAGTTCATGCTAGGACAGCCAGGACTACAGCAAAATCCCTTGTCTCGAGAAACCAAGGGAGGGAAGGAAGGAAGGAAGGAAGGAAGGAAGGAAGGAAGGAAGGAAGGAAGGAAGGAAGGAAGGAAAACCAGGAGTAAAAAACAAAAAATAAACCAAATCAAAATGAAAACAAAAACATAAAACCAAACCAAAATAATGGCTTGGCAGTGGTGGCACATGCCTTTAGTCCCAGCACTAGGGAGGCAGAAGCAGGCAGATCTTTGTGAGTTCAAGGCCAGCCTGGTCTCAGAGTGAGTTCCAGGACAGCCAAGGCTATACAGAGAAACCCTGTCACCAAAAGCCAAAAAAGAGAAAGAAAGAAACAGGAAGGAAGGAAGGAAGGAAGGAAGGAAGGAAGGAAGGAAGGAAGGAAGGGAAGCTGCCCCACTACGGGGGCAGAAGAAAAGAAAAGCAGAGCAGGGAACAGAAATAAGCTTATGACTGTTGTAACACCTTTTTTTCATCAGATTTGTACAAGGAAAATGGATATCCAATCATTTTCCCTCTTTTTCTGTACATTGTTTTATATTGATTAATTATTTACAATAAAAAGAACTGACTCAGAAAGCTAGAGTAAGCAGGAAAACAAAGGCCCCTTTTTTCTGGGTTGAGGGAAGCTACCAGGGGCCACATGCCTGCCCTCTGAATTGCACCAAGATGCTCCAAATAGAGCAGAGGCAGGCTGCAAGTAGATCCAGGGGAACCCTGCTTCAAACCCCCCCAAAAGTCCCTGGGAGCCACAGTTCCCTATCCATGGGGCTTCAAGAAGCGCTGAGCTGAACAAGAGGCCTGTGAGAAGCCTCTGCATAGTAAAAATGCAGCCCCATCTCAGGCAGGGTTCAAGGAGCCCTTTGTTTCTTCTGAAGCTGTCCTGCAAAGGCACCCAAATGAGCCTGATGTCTACCCTGCTATTGGCCCAGCTGCTGGCCACTCCTGCCGAGCTCAGTCCAGGGCCCCTTGAGGGCTTCCATCTTTTCTCCTCGAAGCTTTAAAGAGGACAAAGGCGGCATTCAGTGGTACTCTGCCTACCCTTCCCCTAAGTTAACAATGAAAGAATACTTCAAGGCCAAAGGCATGGAATCTAGGCACCCCTACTCCTCTGAGACGCTTGCTCAATGCTAAAAAAGCAGCTGTGATCAGTAATGCATGAGGAAACTAGGGCCCTTCCTGTCAGCTCTGTTTTCACAGCTCTAGCGTTTATGCCTTAGCAGTGATGAGGGAGATGGAGTCTAGAGTGTCATGCCCACTGACCAATAGTGTTGAAACTCAGCCGTTACCCTGCAGCACTGAGGACTGAGGACTGTGGACTATCCTTATAGCAAAACCTTCCTATAGCAGACACAACCCTACCACAAGTTCGGCAATCAATCTGACACTTGCCTAAAATCACACAATGTAACTTCACCCTCCACCCCCAGCCTGAGAGTCTGGGGTGAGCTCTAAACAGGAAACAGTTAGAAAAAGAGTTCAGAGGGAAGAGAAGAGGAAGTTGTATTTACTTTTCTTTCAATCAAAGTTGGGTGTTGTTGCTGTCATTGCTTTGAGATAGGATCTCATAGCCCAGGCTAACTGGAAATGCTTTATATAGCCTAGGCTGGCCTGGAACTCTCTGCCTCCTGTTGCAACAAGTCCAGCTCAAAGCTGTTGTTATTTATGTTTTGTTTTTGTGTTTTTGCTTTTTTTCATGTCTGATATTGAAAGCTTCTTTCCCTCCCAGTCATTTCCTGATGTTAGCCCAAGGAAGAAAGATATTGGTTGGTGTGTATTGTGTTTAGGAAACAACAAATTGAGAATGGATGGTTTGTCCATTTCCCACACTGACTCTGGCTCTCCAGGTTCATGAAGCACACACTAACTCATCCTCTTTGGTATGTGTCTGTCCAGTTAGAGTGCAAGGACTGCTTAGACATAGCTTTGAATCTTATTCATTGCCTTCCGCTCAGATTTATAAAGAGGTCATGAAAGAAACTCAGTAAACATTCATTAAGTGAATATATAAATGAGTACAGCAAGTGAACATTAAATGAGAGCTATACAGGAGCAGGAGAATGAGCTACACTCCCTGCAGCCCCCTGGCATAACCTGTCTACCTGCCAATCCTTGGAGGACCACCTCCATGACCTAAGCAAACACAGAAGGACCCTGCTACAATCTCTAGAATATCGTATTCCCTTCGGAGCATTTGAGAGGAGAAAGGGTTAGTTTTAGTGATGCAGAATGGGACAAGACTGACCTTTCTCTCCCAACAAGACACAGCAGTTCCTGCATCCCATCCTGAGGAACCATCTCAGGGGAACAGTTACCCTGATTTCGTGGTGATGAAATTCACTCACTCTGATCTCATGGTGATGAAATTCATTCATTCTGCTGCTTACAACCCTCAGCAAATGGACGTCACTAAAATGCACTGGATGGGTTTATAAACCAAGTATGCCATCCTGTGCCATTATGACCTTGACCAGACAGAGCTTTGATGAAAATATTAAGCATGGAAAACTCCCAAAGCCGCTGCTATTTGCCATTGAAAGTCCAAGACACAAGCAGGGGATCCCATGAGACTATAGCTGGGTGCCTGGGAGTGATACCAGGACATCTAGTCAACCAGGGCCACTCCAGCTATGTTTTCTGAATTCTCTCAGAAAACAAATGTACTTTGCTTGCAGTGTGCTACACTCTGGTGAAGGTACTGACCTCAGCCTTTATCTCTCGGAAGAGTATCTCCCTGGACACTCAGTAGTGTCTGAGCAAAGATGAGGAGGTGTTGTGGAACAATGTCCTCTGAACATAGTGCCATTGCCCTGTTCCAAGCATGGCTACTGCCCTCTGGGGTCCTGGCACTCACTGGGGCCTGGGGTTTAGAGAAGCCTAGGGGAAGGCTCACCCATCCTATACCATCTGTCCAACCGCCAGCCACCAGCCATGTGCCACCCCTTCCTCCTCCAGCCACACTTGCTTCCTACTGTGAGCACAGGGAGCCTTCTCCTAGGCCAGCCTTCAGGCCCATCACCTCTGAACGCCTCAACATAAAGTGGCTGGTTCCCTTACCCAAATTCTCATTGCCTTCCTATGTTATGACAGCAGTAATTAACAACTGTAGTGTGCCCTGTACCCAAGATGGTTCTGAATCCTTCAGATGGAAGAACTTTTGTAATAGCTTTCTGTCACTGAAACAAAATACCTGAGATAATTCCCTTAATAAAAGAAAAGGTTTGACCTTTGGTTGATTACGTAAGATGGTGTATGAATAAACTGAGGCGCATTCAAAACAAAAACAAAAAAAAAAGAAAAGGTTTGTTTGGGGCTTGTGGTTTCATACTAATTTATTAGTTCATGGTTATTTCTTCTGCTTTGAACCTGTAGCAGAGGCTCAGTACATTCATGGTGAGAATGAAATCTTCTCACCTCAGGGTGACAGGGAGAGAGGGGAAAGGGGGCTGGAGAACACACCAAAGTTCCAACATCTCCTTTACAGGCACACCCACAATGACCTAAAGACGTCCCAGTAGACTGTACATCTTAAAGGTTCTACCACCTTTTAGTGTCACAGGCTGCACATGGTACTGTCAACAGATGTCTCTTGGTGATGGGAGGTGGAGAGGTTGAGCAGGAGAGTCAAGACTTCAACAGCCAAACAATCTATGAGCTCTGTTTCTTCATAAGAGTGTTGTGAAGGTGTGCTGCTCTGATCGCTGTAATAAAAAACTGGACAGCCAATAGCTAGGAAGGAGAGACTAGGCAAGACTCTGAGTAAAGAGAAAGAAACTAGGAGGAATCTAAGTGCATGATTTCACCAGCAGACTTGGAGCAAGCTGGATGTGCTGTACTAAGCTACATACTAGAA